TATTTACTCCCCCCCCCCAAAAAAAAATTATTCCAGATTTCAATATAGATTCAAATTTAGCAAAATAAACACATCTTAATACTGGTAAACTTTCTGAGTCTCATATGGGTCTAATCAAACAAGGAGCTTTGTTTAATTTATGCCAGATATATTGTATATGAGTGATGCAGCTTAAGTTATCTGTGGTAGAAATACCTAAAAATTTTAAATTTGATGAGTAGTTATTTCTTTATATTTTAGATACAGAATGGGTTCATAAGGTAAACTAGATTCTCTTCCCTGAAATAGTATTGCTTTAGTCTTCAGTATTTATTATAAGATTATTTGTTCTCAGTAGCATCTGTTCCTTTGTGCAGGACAATCCATGAATGGGTTTCATTTGAACAACCCCCATATCTTAGGTGAATGAAATATGTAATGAATTTAATTTCAATTTTTGTTTATTGTGTATATCTTGTAGGTTCTGTTGCATTATTCAGTTTGAAATCTCAGCACCCATAAGTTGTGGCTCAACCTAGGGAAATGGAAATTTATTTCTAGTCGATTTTTAATGAGTACCACTACCACAGGCCCTGTCTTCCCACATCTGTAGTTGTTGCCAGCAGCTGGTTCATTTGGAAATGTAACCCCAGAAGTTGGCACAGAACTGGTGTATAGCTGGCTCCAAGTGAGATACCTTCTGAATTCTGTTAATGTGTCACAGTGGATGTTGTTGCAGGTCTGGGTCATTATGGAGTCGAGTGCAATGATGTGGATTATGTTGTGTGTTCTCATGGACATTCCGATCATACAGGCAACAACAACCTGTTTCTGAATGCAAAACACATTGTAGGGTTCAGTATATCATCCAAGGACCTGTATTTCATTCACCCATTTGAAACAGGCAAGTTCAAGTTAGTTAATGGATCATTTAATGACACTGTACCAACTGCTGATACCAGGGACTACATGGTATAATTGTTCTCAGAGAAAGACACCATGCTTTCATTTGCCCAAACAATAGTAGATGACAAACCCATATATAAATTTAAATTTTCTTGCTTATGTAGGTCTTCATTCTTTGCTTCATCTCTGTGGGTTCACCGAGCAGATTGGTGTTGCAGTAGTACCCTAGACTTGCACGTGGTGTGTTCAAAAGTTTGGAAACTATTTTTTATGATTTTCTTGGCCTTTCCTACAACTGTGTGAGCCTTATTGCCTTCAAAGTTTTTTCCTCCTGCATCAGTGCGCTGCTCCCAGTGCCATTGCCACTTCTGGAAACAGTACTGGTACGGCATTTTCGGGATCACACGTAGCTCCATCTGCAAATTTTCCATAATCTCTTGAATCGTCTGAAATTGTTGTCCTTTCAAAGTGCATTTTAGTTTGGGAAATAAGAAGTCTGCTGGAGCCAGGTCAGGTGAGTAGGATGGCTGAGTAAGCACAGTTGTGTTTGTGTTGGCCAAAAAGTCACAAATCAGTAGTAATGCATAAGCTGGCTCATTGTCATGATGGAGGAACCAGGAGTTGTTTCTTCACAACTGAGGTCTATTTTTCCTGACATTTTCTGTTAGATTTCAGCATTTTGAGATAATACCAGGGATTCACTGTTTGACTCTGACATAAGAATTCATGATGTACAACACCCTCAATGTACAAAAACAAACATCAACATGACTTTCATGTTGGACCTGACCTGCTCCACCTTTTTCAGTCTCGGAGAATTTCTTCCAACCCATTGTGAGGACTGGAGTTTCATTTACATATCGTATCCATAAACCCATGTTGCTGATCATAATTCTTCTCAGAAAGTTTTAATTCTCACTAGCACAATTGAAATGTTCCTGACAGATGGCAATGCAACTGTCTCTCTGATCCTGTGTCAGATGTCATGGGACAAACTTTGAAATTACCCAATGCATTTCTAATTTTGTAGTAAGAATGTCATGACATGATCCTATCGATACACTGCACCCTTCTGCTATTTCCCGCACTGTGAAACAATAATTAGAACACAATTTCATGAACTTACACAACATGAGCGTTGTTACATGACATTGAAGTCCCTCCCAAACATGGGTCATCATGTGTTGACTGCCGACTGTCCTTAAATCGCTTAAACCATTCATACCAATGTGTGTGCCTCATGCGCTGATCACCATAAACGCTTTCCCTAGTTTAAATCAAAATTTAATGTTAATACGCTGCTTATGAATATCAATCATCTTGAATATCGCAAGACACACACTATACGCAAGATGATTTACTATCTTATGTACATTCGATACTGAAGTATGGCATTATCTTTTGCCAATAATGCCCCCCTTAGTATGAGTATCTTTAAAATTCAAAAAAGAACCATAAGAGTTATGTCTGGATCTGGAAAATTTGATTCATGTCGGGATTTGTTCAAAAAATTACAAATATTGCCACTACAGTCTCAGTATATTTTTTCCTTGCTTCTTTTCGTTATTAAGAATAAAAATTACTTTACATCTAACATGGATATTCATGATATTAATACCCGCTATAATTATAATTTATACTTACCCTCTACAAATTTATCAATAGTTCAAAGAGGAGTGCTGCTTCCCTGGAAGCAAGATGTATAATCACTTACCCTTGAATATTAAATTGTTATCTAAAGACGTTAAGCAATTAAAATCTTTATTGAGAAGCTATCTCACTGAACATGCATTTTATAGCACTGATGAATTTTACAAAACAACTTCCCAATGAATACCTGTACATTATTTAGCTAATAGTTGTAATAGATGTATTGCCATATTTGTATTAATTCTATGTAAAATTGTTTCAGATGACTGTTGTAAGTTTTATGACATGTATATTAGATTTACTGTTATACTTATTGTTTTATATTTATAATGACAGTTTCTATATCCTATAGGTCTTTGACCTTGTATAGATTAATGGAATGTAATTAAATAATAATAATAATAATAACGTGAACAAATAGCTATAGGGTGATGACTAATCATAGCAGGATGATGCAACAAAAAGGATGATAATTAGGAAGCACGTCATTAGGCAGCACAACTTACCAGACATTGCGAATACATTGAGTTGGCATGCTGTTTCAAGAGTTCTGAAACTTTTTGAACAGACCACATATTTGGGAGATGTTATTTTCAATTCTCTGATGGAACACTGGCTATCATGACTGAGTTTTTCTTGGATTTCCTCAGTCATTCCTAGCAATACCCTTGATTAGGTCATCATCATTTCTAAATCCTTTCCAATTTATTGTTCACCATTCATCCTGCCATTAAATGTTATATAGTATAAGCTACTGACAGTGTTGTTAAATGAGCCACAAACCTTAGGTTGAAATATTTTCTTTGGCATTTTGTTTTCACTTGCAATTTATGGTTCCTTAAAGCAATGTGGCATGTAGACCCATTGCTAGGCAACGACTGTGAAAGAAGCAACCATACCACAGCAACTTCTAAGTAATGGCTCTGCAAAACTTGGCTGTTCCTAGGCAATGGCTCAGTATCAATAACATGATCACCACAGCATACATGAACTCAACAATTGCACTGCAACAGAAGAACTATTTTCTGTGCAGTTCTTGTCAAGATGTTATAAGCAGAGCCAGTTAGCTGTTGCAGTTAGTTGGCGAGTTAGAGAACTGCTGCTGCCAAGAAATGGCAGCGGAGATGTGACTGGGGACACTAGTGTCTGTGTGTGTGTTTCTTTAGGAAAGAATTAGAGAGGTGGAAACTCACAACAGAAGAGTCACTGTCAATTTTATGCTCATAAAATTAAAGTTGGGTCCAACCTAATTTCTTACTATTTTATCTGCATTTTTTACAGTCCTTATGTTTTAACAAATTTATCGTTACAACCTGGATTTGCCTGATTTATGTACATCACCTGATGATGCCAAAGTGTAGTCAACATGTGTAGTGTATGATCGGTAATAAAGAAGATGGTGTTTTTATATTTTGTTTGTGTGACACTTAATCTTATGACTTAAAATAATGACAAACGGGATTCAGTTGTATAAAAGACTGTTTTTTTCGCTGAGGCAAAGATTCAAGTTTGGAACATACAATGTGAATAGTTAGTAATAAATTGTGAATTGATCAACACTCTTTAAGTCATGGTTTAGGGTTTTGTCATTGTGAATCATGGTAGAGATTCTAGTGGCCTCCATACTGTAATTTAGTTGTGTTATATGGTAAGTCTCCAGTTTCAGGTTTTAAGGGTTCGTTTGCTTTCTGAACTTCAGGGGAACCATTCATCATTGATGAGTCTGTGAAGGTGGTGCCTACTCCAGGCCACACACTGACAGATGTGTCTGTTCTGGTCAACACAAAGGATAAAGAACTTGTAGCAGTGACAGGTAACTTGATATAAGATAGTACATATATAAAATGACCTTTTCTTCCAATAAGGACTGAATCCAGTTAATACTACCACTACTTTGTTTTTTGGAAGTATTGGATTTGATTCACATCCCACTGGCTAGCTCTCATGTCAGGTTTGTTTACCTTACCCTCTCTAGACATATTGCATGTAAATGGAAGTAATTGCATTATGGAACAGTTTTCACATTGGCCATTGTTTGGATAAAACGCACATGTATGATATTGTCATGTGTTGGGTATGTGACACATGACAAATAACTTCATGCCATATCGAATATAGCAAATTTATTGAACGCTTGCTCTCACAGTTACACCACTACTGTCATATGCAGTATCACAATTACGTCTTCTGCTTCCATTCACTCCGGCGAATGCTACACTCCAAATGACTCGGCGACTTCACGATCCACATTGTGTCACTCCTGATCACACACACTCGTCACATACTGCTTAGCCGGCTTTTTATACCGTTCCCTGTTGCCTGTGTTACAGTGGGAAGTGCTGTTATGTCACTGCGTGGGAGGGGGGCAGAATATTGACTGGCCTGTTACCGTAGCAATGGAAGCACTCCGATGCTGTTACGTCACCACTGGCGGGGGAGGGGGTATCCTGCAAAGCACAAATACGTCACAATATGTATGTACTGGCTGTCAGAGATGAAACTTCTTATCGTTAAGCACTGACATTGTTCAGGATTAGATTCTTTGTACAAAACTGGGAGCTGCAAACTTCATATGGAGATAGCATCTAAAAATTAGCTGTAGAATATAACAAGTCAGATTCCAGGTTAACTGGTAATTGTTTCCTTCTGTCTCTCTTTTCATTCTTTTATATCTTCTTGTGACATGACATTGCAAATTTCTTGTTGTTGAGGCCCTCCAAAAGTTGCATTCTCCTGAATGTGGAATACTTTTGTGTGCTTGAGTGCCTTGTAAGAAGTACCTTTACCTAATAGGTCCCTTAGGAAATGAGTACGAAGAATCTTCATGGGGGCTGAAAGGTTGCTGGCATGTAGGGCTGACAATCGCACTGCCATCTGTGGGCCAGTTATCTAGAAAATGTGGGAGCCTTACCTCTCACAGCCATATGGGCCTCCATAACCTGTTACAGGGATAGCTTTACCTTCTTTTACCTTTAACTAGGCAGACAGAGCAAGCCTCCAAAACACTTTAGACAGGCAATTCCCAAGGAAAAGCATCTCTTGATACTAGACCACTGCCAAAAATCTTCAGGGCCAGAATCAGTTCAAGTGTAGTGGGTACACAAACATCACTTTGTCGTCTGGAATTAAATTCTCATGTCCTGAACACCAGATATAATGGCTCTACTGCCACAACTTTATTTTTTCAATTAGTTAGTAATATTTACTCCATTCCAGATGTAACCATCTACTTATATGAGGTTGTCATCCCAGTCTTGATTGTAAAATCTTTATTTAGATAAGCTGAAAGTTATGTGACAGGTTTTGTGCTGACTTGTCTTACTGTGATTTGAGACCAAAAGAGCACTTAATTTTTCAGAATGGCATACTTTTATTGGAAACCAAACTCAGATGTCATAAGTGAGATTGACTGGGCAATTTCACAACATTAATGTATTGCTGAACTTTCTGTTTCACAGTTTATTTTAAAATGCTAGAGTGCCAGTTGCATAGGTTATGTATCTTTGACTTACAGATATTTTAACTAGAATGACGAGTGAAACAGTGTGGAAGGAACGAGAGCTGACCTATTACAATATGCAATTTAGTCATTTTTGTAGCAGTATCAGGAAGATTCCATGAAAAGTAGCAGTGACCTCAGGCTTCAGACTGAAACCTAAGATTTCCTGAATCTAAAGCATAAATGTTGAACACAAGGTGAACTGAGCTATCCTGTCTGCAACCTATGGATTTTCTAGCTTATTTAATATCCAAGAGGAGACAATGTATAATCATCTGTCACCATAACTATAAAAGGGAGATCTTCCTTTGATAGATATGCAGTCAATAAAATTCCCTTATACAGGGGTCAGTAGAAATCCTCAGAATTACTGGGTTTGTTGGACTATATCCATCATCCAGTATTCTAGAAACTAGAAAACACTATATTTCAGAAACTGAATCTGTTTCTGTCCTCAGGTGAGGGGAAGACACCCTAGAAAGATCTAACCTCAATCACTGGAAACAGTAGAAATGTTTGAGATAGAGACATGAACCATATTTATCTGTGCTCAGTCCATAAAGCAGTATTTTTGCATATGAAACATGATTTTTGTTCACAGGTGACTTGTTTGAACGAGAGGAGGACATTACTGATCCATCACTATGGCAGTATGTAGCTGGCAGTGAAGACCCAGAGATGCAGCGTCAGAACCGAAATAAGATCTTGCAAATTGCTGACTGGATTGTTCCTGGCCATGGGCCAATGTTTAAGGTTACAGCAGAAATGAAGTGTGGTGGTAAATAAATAATAAACAAAGAATACATATTTTCCTAAGAGTTTTATGTCCCCATACCTCACAGTTTAGTGAGTGGCACACCTGCTTCATATACAGGAGGTCTGATATTCAAATCTCGGGTTGAAGATTAGGTGTATACTTTTTTCTGTGGTTTTCCATAGTCCTTCCAGGGAAACACTAGAACAATACCTGTTATGGGTTACAGATCATTCCTTCTGGATTCTTTGTGGTTCATCATTCACAGTCATCCGACCATTTGACACAAGAAACCTATGTGTTGCAATATTGTAAATTTTAAACACAAACTTTGGTAATATGCTTACTTAAAATATAATGCTAGAATTTTTTTAAAGTTGTTTTCTTCAGCAACTTTGCATCAGTGGCTTGGAGATGAAACAGGGGAAGATTAGTGGTGCATTACCACAGAGATGAGAAAATTCCATCTCTGTGGTAATACACATTCATTTTTGTGGTCAACTGCCATCTGCTTGTTGAACACCAGTATCTCATCAAACATCGCTAACAAACATATCATGGTTTTTGTATGGCCAACAGAATTTCATCACATGTGAGAATAAAGTGTGTACAGACACATGGTTGAAAAAGATGAGTCCAATTCCTTTATGAGGAGTCTGCCTGGTAACATGGTACACAATAGAATATTTAGCCGTGGAAGTTGCCACACAGTGTGCAGGAAGGGATCCGCTTGTAATTTCTTCTGTGTCCAGGTTTTGGTATGGCCTGTTGAGGCTGCTGCAACAGCTAATTTGGCATTTCAAACTTCACAAGACCACATGTTGATATATGTATTTATGCTTAATTTTCTTAGTGTATGGCAGGCATGTCCAACGTGTTGATCGCAACCAACCGGTCGATTGCAGGACGATTTTTGGTCGATCTCATAGGCCTATAAGGAAATGATATGTGAAAAGAATGTAAATTCACTTGTAATATAATATGATTATATTAAAATTTTGAATGGAAAATAAATGTTAAAGTATCTGTACTTTTAATGTATGTTTTTTTACAACAAACATCATGTGTCATGTTATTTTTACCAATATTTTTGCTTAAAGTGAGGTACAGCGATAGGAGGAGGTGTTAGATAACTGGCAGTTTTGACACTAAAAAGTCGATCACAACCTGTTTGAAGTTGGACATGCCTGGTGTATGGTATCAATTACTTTTCTGGAAAGTCCAATACTCAGTGTTAAAGCATTAATGCTGACTCAGAACTTAACAGAATTTCATATTTTCAGGTCCGTTAAATAGATCATGGTGTTGGAATGAGTCCAAGATACTTGATATCAATGGAAAGCTGGATTGTATTACTGAAGATGGTTGGTTCCTTAAATCCCCTAATATCTCTCTTCCTAGTAAAAGGTATTGGTGTTGATGGACAGTTTTATCCTATCACACCACTGCTGGCATTTGGATAGAGCTGTTTGTAAGACCTCTGACAGTCTAAGGGAATTTTCTGTTGATTAAGATTGTAATATTATCTGTAGATTCTACTGCATAATAATCGTTAAATTATCTCCCAAAAATGCTCATCCATGACCAGGTTCTACAGCAGAAGCAAGAACACACCTCCCTGTGTACATCCCCTAGCAGCGGACATGTACATGGTTTCTCCCAACCATGTACAGTTATTATGTTTCTGCTTTTCAGCATAGAACTGATCCACCTGCAAATAGAGGGCTCAGTGTCATGCCTTTCAGGAGCCTGTGTTATTACATCAATTGAGGCTCTACCAAAAGCTCCCGCTTTCTCAAGGAATGCTCCTAGACTGATTTCCTTGCATTTAATAACACTTTCTGTGTGTGATACTGCACAGTGAAAGTTCATTCTCAGTCGACTTACCAATTTGATATGCATGTTGGTTTTGGTGTAGAGGATGCTCCTTTAGTACACCTCCCCTCATATGTCTATCCACCAATTTCTCCATCTTCAAAAGAAGTCGGGCTGATGGGATGATATGCCTTAACCTCAGTATATTCTGATTTCCTTAACTTTGGAATAAACATCAGTTTAACCTGCCTCAAGGCCACAGGAATAAATTCATATACCAGGCAGGCTCCAAATATGTGGAAAAGATATGGAACTAACTCTTCCACCAATTGCTATAAAAGTCCCAGTACTGTTTCATCTGTTCCTGCTGATTTAAATTGTTTGAAGGTATCTAGTGCCCATCTAGTTTTTTATTGATTATATTTCGGGCCAGGTTCCAGTCTTCCCTGTCCATCATATGAATCTTTAATCAGCTCTGAGCTGAGAAAGTGAACTCTGAATAACTCTTTCAGAGTCTCGTCTCCAGTTCATGTGCACTGACCATCTCATAGCTTAATAGTGCTGACCCTGTTAGTCACTTGTTTTGCCATGATCTTCATGAGTTTGGTATATCAGTGATCTTGTGCCTGTACCTTCTTCATGAATATCATTTGACTTTTCTAATTTATTTTTTGTAACAGGTCAGAGTTTCCGTATAGGTATCCTACTGGCATGTCCATTTAGCTACATTAAACAGCCTTCTTGTTTTGGCTCTCACCCCACTCAGCATTTTAATCCACCAAGGTGCTTTCCATGGTGAGCAGGTGCTCTTGGCTGGACAGTTGTTATGATAGGACATGATGATGGTCTATTGCAACTGGTCAGCAGCCAGATCTGTGTCTCTTATCATGCTTCACGAAATGATTTCAAGATTTACTATTAGGTTGTCTGTGTATAATTCCCAGAAGGGTGATAAAACTGACTGTGGTAATTATCGTGGGATATCGACTGCTATCAACTTCATACAAAATTTTATCCAATATTCTTCTCTCAAGGTTAAGTCCATATATAGATGAAATTATTTGGGATCATCAGTGTGGGTTTCAATGTAACAGATCAACTACAGATCAGATCTTTTGCATTCATCAGATATTGGAGAAAAAATGAGAGTACGATGAGACCGTACATCAGCTATTCATAGCCTTCAAGAAAGCCTATGATTCAGTTAGGAAGGAAGTATTGTACAATATTCTGATAGAGTTTGGGATACCCATGAAACTAGTTAGTTTGATTAAAATGTGTTTAAATGAAACGTATAGTAAAGTCCATGTAGGTAAATATTTGCCTGATAAATTTCCTATCCAGAATGGTTTAAAGCAAGGAGATGCTTTATCACCACTCCTTTTCAACTTTGCTATAGAATATGCCATTAGAAAGGTCCAGGGAAACCAGGTGGGACTGAAATTAAATGGGACACATCAGCTGTTGGCCTATGCCGATGATGTGAATGTACTGGGTGATAATGTAGATACCATAAAGAAAAACACACAAACTTTAATTGATGCAAGTAAAGAGATTGGTCTAGAAGTAAACACAGAGAAAACTAAGTATACAAGTATGTTACTGTCTCATCACCAAAATGCAGGGCAAAATCATGACATAAAAATAGGAAACGATGTTTTGAAAATGTGGCACAGTTCAGATATTTGGAACAACGATAAAAGATCGCAACCTGATTCAAGATGAAATTAAGAGGAGATTGAACTTGGGTAATGCTTGCCACCATCAGTCCAGAACCTTTTGTCTTCTCATCAGTTGACTAAAAACATAAAAATTAGAATATACAAAACTATAATTTTGCCTGTGGTTCTGTATGGGTGTGAAACTTGGTCTCTGACATTAAGGGAGGAACATAGACTGAGGGTGTTTGAGAACCGGGTGTTGAGGAGAATATTTGGACTGAAGAGAGATGAAGTGACAGGAGGTTGGCGAAAACTGCACAATGAGGAGCTTCATAACTTGTACTCTTCTCAAAGTATAATTAGAATGATCAAGTCAAGGAGGATGAGGTGGGCAGGACATGTAGCACGAATGGGGGAGATGAATGCGTATAGGATATTGGTGGGAAAGCCAGAAGGAAAGAGACCACTGGGAAGAACAAGGCATAGGTGGGTGGACAATATTAAAATGGATCTTAGAGAGATACGATGGGATAGTATAGATTGGATTGATCTGACTCAGGATAGGGATCAGTGGAGGGCTCTTGTGAACATGATAATGAACCTTCGGGTTCCATAAGATTCTGGGAAATTCTTGAGTAGCTGCGGAATTGGCAGCTCCTCCAGAAGAGCTCAGCTCCATGAGTAAGTAAGTAAGTGAGTAAGTATGTATGTATGACTCCCCATAGGTTCTCTTGGGATTCCAGAAAGTAATTGTAGTTGTAGGTATGCTACCTATCTGAAAGTGTATGTCCCTGTGGTCTGACATAGATGGCTCATCAGATACACGTACATGCCAATTTCTTACCAGGTTTCCTATTTTATTAGTCGCTAGTGTCAAGTCAATATCCTCCTTCCTATTGTAGACCACAAAATTTGGCTCATGCAACTAAAGGATGCCAAAATAAAATAGATGGTTAACCCACATAACCAGAAATAATATGAGGCAACTATGTAAGAGAAACAAAACAGCATTACCTTGAGCAGCTTATTCCTTAATCACAACAACCTGTACACCTGAGGATGGCTGGTTAGGCTGAAACCTGTAGAGTCAATAAAGAAAAATGATGAGTGAATAACCACTGACATTGCACATAGATGGCTTAAAGTATCGATAAAAAGGTTAAGTTGTCCATATGCTTAACTAATTAAGCACTATGCCATGAAGGGAGATTGGATGTATAGATCTACATTTCTTGACCTTGATACTAGTTGGAGGTGAGTGGTCAGATTTACACCCTGGCTGCCTTACCCCCAGGGAAAGAGCCCCGGGTAACTATTAGATGGAAGGCTAGATGGGCTCCAGAGCTGGTTTAGACAACATGGAGAAGAGAACGTTCTTGACCCTACCAAGACTCGAACTCTGACCCCTTGTTTGTCCAGCCTGTAGCCAGTTGCAATACCAACTATGCTGTCCTATCTCTTTAGGTGGCATAAAAGCAAAATGAAAAGTCAGATCTATGCAATGCAGCAAGATGCTGCAATGTAACAGTAAGTAATTGTGCCTGGAATTTTCCACCTGTAGCAATATTGTTATTTGCATTTGTTACATTTTGTTTGGATAGACTTTTCAGGTGTGATAATACTAAAACTGTGATTCAAATATTCTCATGAGATTCATGAGACTGATTTTTGAATGTCGTAGCAGGTTTTGTGTTATGTTCATTCTTTCTATGAAAGTTTTCATTTCACACGTTGTTAACATGATAATTTATGTAATTTATACATACAGTTCTAATGTCATTCAGGTGAGTTGGTATTGTTATTCCCATTGTTTGTAAATTTTGTTAGTTTGATTTACAGATTTTTTTTAAAAATACTTTCATTTCAAGGCATTCTTTACAGGTAAAAAGAATGTCTTATGTGGAGGTCATGTCTCTTCATCTGTCACCAAGAATCTACAGTAAAATCATTTGGCTTTGAGGAAGGCGGGGACGATTGGAAACTTTCACAGAAATTCTTGGGAATTTACATTTTTCAATCGTATTGGCCCACAGTAAGACATACTTTACACAAGGTCGTTGATAAACGTTTTCATGTAAATCATAAATCATTAAACAAATTTTGGTGAAATTTAACATGAGATGTGTGTGTAATGCCCCTTTGATTTTTATCAAAATTGACAGATTACAAACTCTACATGCATAAATGAACTTTTTCATGTATAATGTAAACTCTTAATCCAAGTTTGGCTAAATGTGTTGTAAAATGTCAAGATGCATTGTGTTAAATTTGCCTTTTTGGTATTTAGCCATATTGATCATAAAGTATGCATTTCATAAGATCTTAATTGAACTTTTTGATGTATATCATAAAGGTATTGGAAGGTGGAGGGGTATCATTGCATAATGTTGGTTGGCATTTTGATTATTACCAAATTGAGTGAGTACAAAGAATGCTATGCATAACAACATAAATGGATTTTACCATGTTTTGAGAATGAGAACAAATAAAATAAGTGTGAGATTGTTGCAGTAACCATGCAGCTAATTATGGAAGTAGTATTCACTCATGGAGCTGAGCCCTTCTTAAAAAGCTGCCAATTTTGGAGCTACTCAAGAACTTCTCCAAAGGTTCATTACCGTGCTTACAAGAGCCCTATATTGGTCTCTATCCTGAGCCAGATCGATTCAGTCCATACCATCCAATTCTGTCTCTCCTAAGATCCATTTTAATATTGTCTGTCCACCTACATCTTGGTCTTAGTTGTGGCCTCTTTCCTTCTTGCTTTCCCACCAATATCCTATATGCATTCCTCTTTCTCCCATTCGTGCTACATGTCCTGCTCACCTCATCCTCCTTGACTTGATCATTCTAATTATACTTGGAGAAGAGTACAAGTTATGACGCTCCTCATTGTGCAGTTTTTTCCAACCTCCTGTCACGTCATCTCTCCTCAGTCCAAATATTCTCCTCAACACCCGNTGAGATTGTTGCAGTAACCATGCAGCTAATTATGGAAGTAGTATTCACTCATGGAGCTGAGCCCTTCTTAAAAAGCTGCCAATTTTGGAGCTACTCAAGAACTTCTCCAAAGGTTCATTACCGTGCTTACAAGAGCCCTATATTGGTCTCTATCCTGAGCCAGATCGATTCAGTCCATACCATCCAATTCTGTCTCTCCTAAGATCCATTTTAATATTGTCTGTCCACCTACATCTTGGTCTTAGTTGTGGCCTCCTTCCTTCTTGCTTTCCCACCAATATCCTATATGCATTCCTCTTTCTCCCATTTGTGCTACATGTCCTGCTCACCTCATCCTCTTTGACTTGATCATTCTAATTATACTTGGAGAAGAGTACAAGTTATGACGCTCCTCATTGTGCAGTTTTCTCCAACCTCCTGTCACGTCATCTCTCCTCAGTCCAAATATTCTCAAACACCCTCAGTCTATGTACCTCCCTTAATGTCAGAGACCAAGTTTCACACCCATACAGAACCACAGGCAAAATTATAGTTTTGTATATTCTAATTTTTATGTTTTTAGTCAACTGATGAGAAGACAAAAGGTTCTGAACTGATGGTAGCAAGCATTACCCAATTCAGCCTCCCCTTAATTTCCTCCTAATCAAGTTTTGATTACTACAGTGGTATTTATAAGATAAAATGAATAGCTAAGTAATGTAAAATTATTCATTTCTGTGTGAACAGTGGGATAGTAGTGTACCGTTTTACCGGCTAAGCTGTTGGTGGTGTTTGAGTGACGTAATACCACGCTTAATTGGCGTCGAAATGTGTTCAGTGTTTCTGATGATACGATTAAACAACTATGCGACGTTTTCGTGAATAATAGGTTTTGTTTATTACTTGGATGTCTCAAGTAAATCCAGAGCTTTCGCGTTTAGATGTTGCTAGTGGTTTCCTTTAGTTATCGTTGCCCCCCTGTAGCTGTGAATTCGTTAGCTACATCTAGAATTCCGTTGTAACATATGAACAGTATGATGTAGGTTATGTTTGTCNTGAGAAGACAAAAGGTTCTGGACTGATGGTAGCAAGCATTACCCAATTCAGCCTCCCCATAATTTCCTCCTTAATCAAGTTTTGATTACGACAGTGGTATTTATAAGATAAGATGAATAGCTAAGTAATGTAAAATTATTCATTTCTGTGTGAACAGTGGGATAGTAGTGTACCGTTTTACCGGCTAAGCTGTTGGTGTTTGACCGTGTTTGAGTGACGTAATACCACGCTTAATTGGCGTCGAAATGGTCGAAATGTGTTCAGTGTTTCTGTTGATTCAGTTAAAGGACTACGCGACGTTTTCGTGAATAATAGGTTTTGTTTATTACTTGGATGTCTCAAGTAAATCCAGAGCTTTCGCGTTTAGATGTTGCTAGTGTTTTCCTTTAGTTATCGTTGCCCCCCTGTAGCTGTGAGTTCGTTAGCTACATCTAGAATTCCGTTGTAACATATGAACAGTATAATGTAGGTTATGTTTGTTCTACACATAACTGTTTCATATTAGAGCAACATTCCAGCATATGTATATTCGTTTCTGTGGTATTAAAAATGAAGCTAGTAAGTAGTCTCAATTGCAAGTAATATTGGTATCTGGTGCTACGCAATTAGAGATACAGGAATGTATTAACCCTCCATGTACCAGTCAGTGGGGGTGAGCCGAGATAGCGCAGTCGATATAGCTGGCTGGACGACCGAGGGGTTAGAGTTCGGGTCCCAGTGTGGTGAAGAATGTTCACTTCTCCATATCGTCNTGGATGTCTCAAGTAAATCCAGAGCTTTCGCGTTTAGATGTTGCTAGTGTTTTCCTTTAGTTATCGTTGCCCCCCTGTAGCTGTGAGTTCGTTAGCTACATCTAGAATTCCGTTGTAACATATGAACAGTATAATGTAGGTTATGTTTGTTCTACACATAACTGTTTCATATTAGAGCAACATTCCAGCATATGTATATTCGTTTCTGTGGTATTAAAAATGAAGCTAGTAAGTAGTCTCAATTGCAAGTAATATTGGTATCTGGTGCTACGCAATTAGAGATACAAGAATGTATTAACCCTCCACGTACTAGTCAGTGGGGGTGAGCCGAGATAGCGCAGTCGATGTAGCTGGCTGGACGACCGAGGGGTTAGAGTTCGGGTCCCAGTGGGGTGAAGAATGTTCACTTCTCCATATCGTCCAGAGCGCCTCTGGGGTCCACCCAGTTTCCTATAAAATGGGTACCGTGGGGCCGGGGCGTGAAGCTGACAACTCACCAACTAGTGCCGAGGTCAAGGAAATGTGGATGTATACATCCGGTCCCCCATACGCCTTCATGGTGTATTGCTTAATTAGTTAAGCACAGGGACAGCGTTACTAGTTGGGGGGGGGGCTGCTGTCAGACGGAGAAATAACTGCCCAGAATTAACGAATAGCAGACAGCATTTTTCAATCTCAGGGCGAATGAGAAAGAAAGCCGGAGAAAATAAAAAATAAACACTGAAAACTGGTATAAGAGTGAATCATTAGGAGGAAATTGATGGAAGTAAGGAGAGTAGTGGAATTGACCACGGTCAGAGTGAATGGGAAGAAGTGCAGAATACTAACAGTCTCTCAGATCTTTTCATTTATGCTTGCGATCGCTGAACAATGGAGACTGAAAATCAGGAACATCAATTGATTGTTTACTTCTGTTGCTTTATGCTGCCAGAGACCTGCCTCTCCCCTACACTCTTAAGTGAATCCAGGTTTTATTTACTGTATAAAATTGAAGGTTGTAGTTTGGGTGCCCCCAACTAAACTGAACTGAACCTAATGAGAATGGAAGCAATGTTGGATTAAAAACTGTAATGGGCTGTGCACTTATGGGAACCCAGATACAGTGTAAGTTCAGGATTTTCTTGGCAATAAATGTTCATATTGTGGTCATCTGGATTGTGACACTTTATGGTGTTGTAGGTGGATACCAGGAATTTGGTTTAACATCTTTCCACCATTTTCATGATTGAGGTTAGTAGACTAAGGATATGATGAGTTTAGGCAGGTTACAAGGAAGATAGACACTCAGATCCTTGTCTTTGTCAATTGGAACAGTAAATGCAAAGTGTGAGAAAAAAGGGCCCTTATAAGAGACCACAACATTATTTTTACTGGAGTGATATGGAATATGAGAAAATGTGGCTCTTACTAGGGACAACAATGCTACTATTACAAAAGGGAGATTGAATTGTGATAAAAGACAGCCCTCTTCATGGTCCTTTTTTTAATCCCAAGTAGAGGAGTGTCACTATTTTATTCTTTGAGAGAATATTTCTCTTCCCAAAGTCCAGAGTGGTCTGTTAGGGTATCAGAAAACTGAATCTTGACATCTTTCTTGTGATAGTTCTCCTAAGATTGAATTTTTTTTTACCTTTTGGGGAATGTTGTCAGATGATTCTTTCAATATTTCCACTTTCATCTATGTTTTTTTTTGTGTCTTATGAACTCCTGTTATTGAAATTTCTGATTCTGTTTTAAAATCTTCTTTTCTTGTATTGTCAAAAAGAAAAGTATGTACATTTTTGTTTCCTTTCAGTACTGTCTGAGCAGTGACCCAAACAGACCATGCTATGTTCTTCGTTTCAAAGAAATAACACTAATGTTAGACTGTGGTTTATCAACACAAACAGTGCTCAACTTCTTGCCTTTACCATTAGTTCCCAGTGCAAGACTAAACAATTTGCCTGGATGGATGCCACGTGATGTTTCTGACCCACAGCTGGAAGGTGTAAGTTTAGCTTATAAATCTACCTGAGATTACAGTTTGTATGGTAATGTGTACTCATCACTGTAGAAAGGGATAAGAGAATCATAAAGAAACATGAAGGCAGTTAAAGTAGTTGATGCAGAAACATGTGAAGTTAACTTACCTAACATGTTAATTGAAAACTGCATGAAGTTATGTTAAATAAGCTAAGCTAACCTAAAACCAACCTGAAATTTATAAAAAAATACGCTGGTAAATGGTGATGTTTGTCCATTAATGGAATTGTTGAATAAAGCTGGTAAATGTGGTTCCTGATACAGAAGGCANTGTTAATTGAAAACTGCATGAAGTTATGTTAAATAAGCTAAGCTAAAACCAACCTGAAGTTTATAAAAAAAATACGCTGGTAAATGGTGATGTTTGTCCATTAATGGCATTGTTGAATAAAGCTGGTAAATGTGGTTCCTGATACAGAAGGCTTACTGAAACAGAAGTAGGAAGGCTATGCGTGGATGAGTAATTGATCTTACAAGTCTGCCAAAATAAATCATTCAAATGGGAAGTTCAGTGGAAACAAAATGTACAGGCTTGCAAGATCTTGGATAGCTTAGTCAGCAGAGCAGCTTGTTATAGGGTGAATAATTGTTAAAATTTCCAAGAGGCCTCCCCCCCCCTTTTGGTCAGCCATAGTGCCTATCCATCCACCTATGAATCAATCAATCGATCAATTTATTTTTTCCAAGAATCCATATTTGGTGATACAACCTCCAGATAGAGAACAAGTCATTAACTACATATTAATATAACATACATATCGTACATGAGTCAACTGTATTATAAAACTTAACTACCTACAGATTTCATACACACACACATCAGTCATACAGTACATCATCCCACTTGCAACAATTCGATAACCGAAAGAAATCCTACATCCAAAAATTTTTTATAGATTAAGTGAGGACAAGGTATTTGTCATAACATAAAACCATAACACACTCACTTAAGAATTAAAGGGACAGTAATCCAGTAATACTAGGCAGTCTTTCCCCAGGTATGAAGCAACCAGAGCAGGAAACTAACCACACAGTACCAGTGAGTACCAGGGTTACGAATACATGAAGCTTTATCACCATTTTACCCGTATATCTTCATGGCATAATTCTTTGTCAATTGTACAATTTTGCTCTCTATTTATCATTTCTGATTATGAGTTGAAGTTATGTCCTGATTTTATGTTTGCTCAAGATATAATATGACTTATCCTTGCTCTCAGGAACTTAAAGAATGTTGTGGTCGAGTTTTTGTGGACTCTGCTCCAGAGTTTTTCCCACCTCAGCCAAAAATAATTGACTTCTCAGAAGTAGATGTCATCTTGATATCCAACTACCTGTGTATGCTAGCTCTGCCCTTCATTACAGAAGGAACAGGGTTTGCAGGTGTGGTTTATGCCACAGAACCCACTCTTCAGATTGGAAGGTCAGTTAAATGCCGTTGTCAGAAACAGCCAGTGATCATTTACAGACTAGGCAATGAGGGTATGATTTCTGGCAAGGGGGGAAGTGATTTTTCTCTTTGCTGTCACCCCCAAACTACCTATGAAACCCATCTAGCCTCCAATCAATCTCTCAAATCAACTGCTATGAGATTCCCTTAAAACATGTATCCCATTTCTTAATATATCATCGTTTTCATTAATCAAGTGTGATTATTAAATTATAGACATAGCAGTAAGTGGAGTGAAGGCATTATAAGTAAATGTTTAGATTTGTATGAATTCTAATGCATACTCCCCACCTCTTGCATGAACACAGATTTATTCACTATATAAATCATTTGAATGCATGTAGAATTTAAAAGTGCATATTTTAACATGTTTCCAGCTGGTGGATGAACCATGTAGCATTGTTTTGGGATTATTATGTTTGTCTTATTTACACAACCTTCATTTAATGTTCAGATAACTGCATGTTTCAGCCACACACAGCCATCATCAGGTACATATGTATGCTTGAAGAGGGTGCACTGTGTTCTTTTGTTGAGTGAAGCATTAAGAAAACAGTAATTGAAGTAAATAATAAAAAAATTGAAGTTGATAGGTAAAATTAAAGTTATCACTTGGAGGTTGAAGAAATTGGTGCACCTCATTCTATGTAGGTCTTAAGTGGCAGTTGTGTTGCTTTTTTCTATTGTACTTTTTATGCATTAAATTTATAACGGTGTGTTATATTTTGATACTGTTCCAATAAGGAACTATGGTAATATATGTACATAGTATTTATGGTAGGTGGATGAAGATTGCCAATGTTTATTATCATGTTGAGTTTTTCATAGTTTTCTTTTTTTTTATATGCCCTGCTGTCTGGTGTAGAGTTTCAACTATTTTATTTTGAATGTATATGCAAGTGTTATTCATGTGTACATTATTCATGCTGGTCAGATAGATGCAGTATTTCTCTCAGCTGTTTCAGTTTTTCCCTTTTTTATTTTTATGACATCCATTGTGTTTGTTATGGTTCCACATGTATGTTCTGTGTTTAATATATGATTTGAATATCCAGAGTTGCTGTTATTTGTATTTCTTGGATGTGCTCTTTGTCTCTAGTGTGCCCTGTCTATCTGATGTATCTGAATGGAAAATCAGTCTTCTCATGAGATATGTATCCCAATCTTATTGTACTGGTCTCTTTTGGATTTTGAATGGTTTCATGTTGCACTTTATATGCAAAAGGCATTTGTTTGTCTTGGAACAGTTTTGTACTTTTCCTACTATTTCATGGTATGTTACAGTGGCCCATTTTGTTTTTGTCTCTTTCTTGGGTAAGGAAAGTTTTTTTTTTGGGGTGGGGGGTGACAACTTGTATTTCCTTATATTGGTTATTGTTTTCTATGTCATTAATGGATTTTTTCTTCTAATTTTGCTTTTTTGGATATTGGATATATATGTAGTCTATTTTTAGGTACTTAATGCTTAGTAGTTTATAGTCACAAGGATGATAGGAGTTGTGATAGATTGTAATGTCTATTTATGTGAGTTCACAATATAGTGAAAAGTTTAGTTTGTTATTTTCTCAGCGTGTTGTGATGTCTAGGAAGTGAATTCAATTTTGTGATTCCTTTTCTGTTGTAAATTCTATGGTAAGTTGTAATACATTGAATTCAGATAGGGTTCTCTGTTTGTTTTGTTTGGTCATATGTGATAAGGATGTCATCAGCATATAGAAAATATCCTGGTAGTCAGTTCCTACACATCACAGTACACTTTGAAAATTACATATGAAACTGTGTTGCTGATTGCCTTGTGTGGCCAAAACATATTATGACATGTTGCGCTATGCAGGACACCCCTGCCCCCGCCAGCGGTGATGTAACACCATCAGATCGCTGTCATTACTAAGGTAGCAGGCAAAGCGGCCTCCGTAGTCTAGAGGTAACGTTCCCACCTCATGACTCATAGTACACAGGTTCAAATACCCGGCGGAGGTCGTCGAATTTTAAGGGCAGAAAAATTTGGGGAACAAGTCCTCCGGGAAGGACTTTAAGCCGTGGGTCCCGTGTCGTAGCTTTACGGCACGTAAAAGAACCTCATACCTCCAAAGGAGGTCGCTGAGCCAAAATTGCGGACGTTTGCCACCCAACAGCAGTCACTAATACCTCCGGTAGATGGGGGAAGCATTATAGATACTTCTCAGCCAGTAGAGCTGGTCTCGCTGGCTGGGCGGGACTGATGATAAGCACCAATACCGGTAGGATATAGAGACTGGTAGAAATCATAGAGGGAAGCACAATGGACCACTACAGGTCTAAGTGCATGGGGAAACCCACCCTCTCTAATAACTAACTAACTAAGGTAGCAGGCAAGTCAACACTCCTTCGCCTACCCCGCCAGCGGTGACGTAACATGGTAACAAGGGATGCCGCCGTTGCTACTCAGCAGTAAACAACTCCCGACAGCATTGCTAGGCTGTTGGCAAACACAGCATCAGACAACAGTGGTGCCTATTACGTAGCTGTTTTGTGTGTTGTCCATAACGGGGCTAAATAAGGAGCAGCGAAGGCTATTCAAGTCAGTTACGAGTTGGCCAGGGAAGAGTATTCAGTCAAGTAATTGTAATACTGCAGATAGCAGTAGTTGTCAGATTGTAAACTGTGTGATTGTATGAGCAAGTGTGGAATAAAATTTGATATTTTAAATATATCTAGAGACCAAACAGGATTCATTCCCAGAATGAAATTTTTAATTTTTATGTCTATAAAATAAAATTAGAAGCCTGGGAAATGGATAAATGTGTGCTATATTTTTATTACCTTGATTTGACAGTTTTGAATAACCATCCATTTAAGTCAACTGTAATCCCATCAATCTATCATTGTAACTTTAACAGACTTTTCTTGGAAGAGCTGGTCCAGCACATAGAGCAGACACCAAAAGCCACACTAGCAAGCCATTGGAAGGAGCATCTCCATGTGTTGCCATCACCATTGTGTGACAGTCAGAAGCCACGCAGCTGGAGGCATATCTACAACATGCGTGCTGTCAACAGTAGTCTTGCCAGGATCCAGGCATGCAGACTTTATATATAATTAGCTCTTCAGCTTTCCTTTCTCACAAATTCCAAACCCTTACTGCAGCATTTGTAACTGTTGTCATGTGTTAGTGACTAGACATGGGGTTTGGATTGAATATTGAATTTATCTAATGCCCATGAACTACAAATGATTATAATACTCTCGCTCCTCTACAGACTCTACAGATCACTACAGCAGACACTGTCTTCTCAGTCTGTTATATCTTCACTAGTTGTTGCTTGGTAGTGGCTTCTAACAGTGGAGATTTCTCTGCTTCCATGCTCATGAGCAACCACCAATTGTGACTGCTCACCCACAACTAACTGCTAAGTGCCAGTCACTAACTGACTAGCCTCTTGTCCTCATTATATGGCCTCGGCTTGTACCACATAGAAAACACCACTTTCTGCACTTCTGTTGTTGCATGCATATCCGTTGCTGTGAGAGCATGTATACCAGGCCATTTCCTAACAGTGGCTACCTCTTCTGGCTCCGCTATTCTACCTTTCAGGTTTCATGTCACATTATATAGCATGAAATATCACATTCAACACAAGAATTTGGAAAAATGTCAAGAATTTGGTGGCAAAAGAATTTTCTCTAGTGAATCAATTTTATTGACTAACTCCATGGAGTTGAGTCCTTGAGAAGCCACCAGTTCCTCAGCCACTCAGGAATTTCCCAACATATTATGGGACCCAAAGGTTCATGACTGTGTTGAGTGGCCCATCTTGAGCCAGATCAGTCCAATCCATACCACCTCATCCTGTTTCTCAGATCCATTTTAATATTGTCCTCCCATCTACATGTAGGTCGCCCTAGTGGCTTCTTTCCTTATGGATTTCCTCTGCACCTCCATGCATGCTACATTCCATGCCCATCCCATCCTCCTTGACTTGATCATTCTAATTATACTTGGCAAAGAGTACAAATTATGAAGCTCCTCATGCAGTTTCTTCAAACTTCCTATCACTTCATCCCTGTTAGTCCAAATAATCTCCGCAGCACCCTGTTCTCAAATACTCTCAGTCTGTGTTCCTCCCTTAATGTCAGAAACCAAGTTTCACACCCATACAAAAATGCAGGCAAACTTATAGTTTTGCATACTCCAATTCATACATGTCTAGACAGACCACTTTTACTGGTATAATAATTTATAGCACAAGACTTTTTTTTTTTTTGCAGTGCACTAAAGTGTGTTACTGTGTTTACTGGAATGCAAGATGACTGCAGTAAGTAACATATCTGCACAGAAAAAGAAATGTTCTGAATTAATTTCATACTGTTATTACAAGCAAACATGTTAGACATGTGTGACATAACATTCACTGAGTTAATTTCCTTTATGTAGTCTCTAACCGTTACTTAGTTCTGTCATTGTCACTGTGTTCACTATTCATATCATCTGTCTCAGCTTCATTGTGTTTATAATTCCTATCTCCTATCTCCTATCTCACTGCTGACACTCTGGTGTTCACTGTGAACATTCCCATCCCCATCCTCAACCTCCTTTTCACCCATTTCATTAGATATACCACTTTTTAAATCCTTTGACTATTATTTCTGGATTTCTGGAGAGATTTCCTTCTATGAACTTGATCTACTAGCAGAGTTGTTCTGCACTAGGCTTCGTTATTTTCCTGATTGGTGTCACAACACTGTTCCCTGCCAAGGGTCATTCAGAATACAACTGTTTAAAATAATCCTTAAAAGGCCTGTTTGCTACACTTAGAACTTGTAGTTTGTGAGGCCATTCTACCAGGTTTTACCTCAAGGTCAGTATTCATTGAATGGATCACCGATCTGACTTCCAGTGGTTAGTGACCTTTAAATACGAGGGGGGACCCAAAAATAACCAGAACCGACCTGTTGCACGCACATGCTTTGTAGTTACGAGTTGTGCTGCTAGGTGGTGTTAGCTGGGGGTCTCCCGCGACTGTTAGTGAGCTGGCGTCAGTCTGAGTTAAGTGGTTTGTCTGTGGTGCTCTGTTGTGTGCGTTCCTGTTTCAACCCTTTGGCGATTAGTGAGATGGCCGACCAGAAGGAACANTCCTTCTGGTCGGCCATCTCACTAATCGCCAAAGGGTTGAAACAGGAACGCACACAACAGAGCACCACAGACAAACCACTTAACTCAGACTGACGCCAGCTCACTAACAGTTGTGGGAGACCCCCAGCTAACACCACCTAGCAGCACAACTCGTAACTACAAAGTATGCGCGCGCAACAGGTCGGTTCCGGTTATTTTGGGGTCCCCCTTCGTATATCCAGGACAAACATTCTCTCATTGTCTTATAATATTTGTGGTTCTTTCAGACAACTAGTAACCACTCCCTCATCACTTCATTAGTCATCCATGTTGTAGTTTGACATGTTATTTTTAGTCCCATAGGCATTTGTGCCATAGACATAGTTTTCAATTTAACCATTTTGTTTTACTCTCTTTTTCATAATAGTTACATAGATATTACTTATGGTTATATAAGGATACTGTCACATGTTAGTGACTGGACAGTGAGTTTGGATTGGTAATTGGTTTAATTGAACACATATAAATTTAACTACAAGTAATTATAATGCTTTCTGACTATGGCACTTGCTAAGTCTTCTCAGTTTGCTGTGTCTTCACCATTTGGTGCTTGGCAGCAGATCCCAGCAACGGATTACCCTCTGCTATCACTCAATATCACTGGCTGTCTGCTGCTGGTCTGTCTTCTTATATAGCCTTGGCACACACATTATAGAGAACACTGTTTCTAGCAGTGTCTTTGGTTGTTGTGACCACTGCCTAGCATTGGGCCTGGCATTGTTAAAGTGTTTACTGACTGTTCATTGATGTCATGTTACAGTATTTCTCCTGAGCAAATGTTTTGGACCTGTCATATATGCTTAGGACAAAATGTAGGGACAACATCTCCCTTTCAATAGTAATAACAGGCCATATAGGTCAAATATTGCATGTGGTGGTAGCAGCTGCAGAAGCTGTTGAAAGGCAAGAGAAAAGCTTACATTGAGGAACATCAGAAAAGTATTCAGCATAAAAATAATGAATTTAAGAAACAGTGAAAAATAGTTCAGGCTGTTGTAACACGATTCATTAGCATGAAGTGGCAATAACTGGAAGTCAGTGTTTGCTGTGCCCTTCTTCATATCTTCAATAAAATCAGTTGAAACATGTACTGTTAACCTTTATTTTTCAGATGGTTGGTTATAATGAGAAACTTGATGTCTATGGAGCTGTGGGTGTGATGCCAGTCAGTTCTGGATACTGTCTTGGCTCTAGCAACTGGGTCATTTCCTCTCACTATGAGAAGGTCACATATGTTAGTGGCTCCTCCACACTGACAACCCACCCACGACCCATGGATCAGACGGCTCTGAAGAATGCCAATGTGTTAATTCTCACTGGTCTGACACAGACTCCAACTGCGAATCCTGACTCCATGCTGGGGGAATTGTGCATGACTGTGGCTACAACACTGAGGTGTGGTGGTAGTGTCCTCATTCCTTGCTACCCATCAGGGGTTGTGTATGACTTATTTGAGTGCCTCTCCAGCCACCTTGATAACTCTGGAATGGCAACAATACCCATGTTTTTCATATCACCTGTGGCAGATACATCACTAGCATACTCAAACATTTTGGCCGAATGGTTGTCAACAGCAAAGCAGAACAAAGTCTACTTACCTGAAGAACCATTCCCTCATGCTTTTCTGGTTCGAAATGGTCGTTTGAAGCATTTTAAACACATCTATACAGAAGGTTTCAGCACTGACTATCGTCAGCCATGTGTAGTTTTCTGTGGGCACCCAAGTCTCAGGTTTGGAGATGCTGTTCACTTTGTGGAATTGTGGGGATCCAGTGCTCTGAACACTATTGTTTTCACAGGTAAGATATCACCTACACACACTCGTTATTCTATGATTATGTCTTAGATCAATCATCGGATGAAATTCAAGGTAAATTACCTGGAATAACTCCACATTCTTGAAATAAATACACAACTGATAACTCTGATGTTTACTGATAATGAAACATTCATTCCTAATATTCATAACTTCATATATTTCACACTGTAAGGCTGTGCCATAGCTCAAGCGGTTAGTCGCTGGCTTCCCACTGCAGCGGCCTGGGTTCAATCCCGGGTCTGTTCAAGTGGGATTTGTGGTGGACAAAGTGGCACTGGGGCAGGTACAATAGGCCAGTCAGTGGCTGCCATGCCAAGTGGACCCAGTTGGACTCCACCCCCCACTAAGTGATTTCTTTTTTCACACTGTAATGTGAACATATTCAGTAGTATATTGTAATGTTTCTCATTATTTGGAACACGTACTGTCTTACTGATCATAGCCTTGTATGATTTGCACTTAGCAGGACCCAGACTAAAACCGCCCTCTGTAGGCTTTGCAGCTACAGTTTTAAACATGTTAAAATATTGAGAATGTTTGGATGTCTGCATAAACAGTGTGACCTTTCGTGTCTTTGGAAAAGTCTATAAGAAAGTGGTGTTTAGATGTGTTGAGAGGTGCTTACAGTCCAGGTGACCACTTTGCTGCTCACCCAACTCCCACAACAATATATTTCATATTCCACCAGAATTACATAACATTTTCATTAAGATGTTACGTAATTCTGGTGGAATATGAAATACATTGTTGTGGGAGTTGGGTGAGCAGCAAAGTGGTCACCTGGTCTGTAAGCACCTCTCAACACATCTAAACACCACTTTCTTATAGACTTTTCCAAAGACACGAAAGGTCACACTGTTTATGCAGACATCCAAACATTCTCAATATTGTAACATGTTTAAAACTGTAGCTGCAAAGCCTACAGAGGGCGGTTTTAGTCTGGGTCCTGCTATACGTAGGCTTCTGACAGTTTTATTTCTGCTTATAATTTAATTTTATAGTTCTTTTTCAGTATTATTTCGTACGTAATTGCAATAAATAATGTGGTCTATTTTATATCCACTGGGTCAGTCTTAATTCTGTCTTAAGAAAAATTTCAGACAGATTCAGCATGCCACTCAGCATTAAAAACTTAAGTAAAGTACAAACTTTGAGACATTGCACATAGACTCTTATTGTACTGGATGTTTCAGACATTGTGTTCTCACATATTCTGTTGGCCAAAGTATTCTACATAATCATATACTGCACACATTAGCTAAGGACTAGTTAGAATTCCTCCAGTTAATATCTGCTCTTATATCATGACCTCTGATAAATTTCAAGCAGGAGGTAAGACATGTTCTGAGACCCATAGACCAATATATTCATTTTGGAACAAGGAAGATTGACTCAGAAGTGGAAGGAGTGTATTATTGTACCTCTTTACAAGAAATGTGATAAAACTGACTATAGTAATTATCAAGACAACTCAAACGAAACTGGCCAATTGACCTGATTTGAATTACTGAGGATTCGTCGCTGGATGCCTCCTCATCATGTCATCTAAACACCCATAACATTAGCTTATAGAATGTATATTCTGATTGCTGATTAAACAAAAAAAAAATGCAAAATATTATTCAGTATTCTTCCTTCAAGGTTAACTTCGTATGTATACAAAATTATTGGAGATCATCAAGTGTGGGTTTCATTGGAACAGATCAACTACTGATCAGGTGGTGGGTGTTTTTTTGTTTTTGCACATGCAGGAGAAGAAGTGGAAGTACAATGGGATGGTACATATGGTACATCAGCTATTTACAACTTCAAGAGAGCCTATGTTACAGTTAGGAAGGATTTATTGTACAGTATTATTATGAAGTTTAGTATACTATGTCAGATGTGTTTAAATGAAACCTACAGCAAAGTCCATATAGATCAACAATGGTTTGACACATTTCCCATTCAGAATGGTCTAAAACAAGGCAATGCTTTATATCCATTGCTTTTCAACTTTGCTTAGAATGTGCCATTAGGAAAGTCCAAGAAAACCTGGACACAGCAGCATCAGGTGTATGCTGATGATGTAAACCTGCTGAGAGATAACACAAATGCCATGCAGGAAAACACAAAAGCTCCAATTGACAGTAGTAAGGATGCTAGTCTACAAGTTAACACAGAGAAAACGAAGAATATGTTGATACCTCATCATCAGAATGCAGAACAAAATCATAACATAAATATAGCTAATAGATCCTTTGAAAATGAAGCAAGTTCAGGTATTTGGGAACAATGCTGACAAATCAGAATTGGTTTCATGAAGCATTGAAGAGCATATTAAATCTTGGGAATGCTTGCTACCATTCAGTTTGGAATATTTTATCTTCTCACCTGCTACTGCAAAATGCAAAGATTAAAGCATACAAAATTATAACTTTGCTTGTACGTAGTTTTGTATAAGTGTGAAACTTGATTGATTTGGTGGAAGAAGATGCAAAGAAGTTAATGGGCGTAAGGAACTGGAAGAGAGCAGCGCAGGATAGAGAGGAATGGAGGGGCTTGATAAGGGAGGCCAAGGCCCGACATCGGGCTGTTGCGCCATAGAAGAAGAAGAAGTGAAACTTGATCTCTCACATTATGGGAAGAGCATAGTCTGAAGGCACATGAGAGTAGGTTGCTGAGGAAAGTATTTGAACGAAAGAAGGATGAAATAACAGGAATCTGGAGAAAATTGCATTTGAGCAGTTCCATAATTTGTAGATCTCATCAATCAAATCAGGCAGGGTGAGATGGATAGACCATGTAGCACACATGGAGGTCAAGAGAAGTGCATAGAAGGTTTTGGTAGGGAAACTCTGAAAGAAAGAGTCTACTGTGAAGACCTAGACATAGATTGGAGGGTAATATTAATATAGATCTTAAAGAAATGTGATGTGAGATTGTGGACTGAATGTCTTTCATTATAAAATAAGGAAAGAAAGTTAATAATATGTTGCTCATGTACAGTGAAAATATGTGGCGACCTTATCCACCATTATTACTGTTATTGTCCCATACAACTTGGATTTCTGTCTCAGTATCCAAGTTTAATTGCTTACACACTTCTCCTTTATGACCTATATCATCTAGCTATTAATGATTAAAGTTGTTATCCGTAGAAGCAGCTGCTTCTTACTAAGGTGAATGACTCATATTTCTGCATTCTTTACAGCAAACATACAAAGCATAAATCCATCCAATTTATTTCAGAGCCAGATTTTCCATACCTGGAAGCGCTGGCCCCATTCCAACCTCTTGCAATGAAGGCAGTTCACTGTCCCATTGACACCAGCCTCAATTTCACACAGGCTAACAAACTGATAAGGGATCTCAGGCCTGGCACACTGGTTCTACCTGAATCATACACCCTACCACCTGTGACAGCACCTCATCGAATTGATTTGGTAGTAGAAACAGACCGACCTATCATATCATTCAAACGAGATGAGGTTCTCACACTCCCTCTCAAGAGAAGGCAAGGAAGGGTTGAACTGAGTCCAGAGTTGGCTGAGTTCCTCCTCCCCAGTGAAGTGCGGACTGGAGTTTCACTGTCAACACTGACTGGGGGCCTTCAGGTCAAGGATAACAAGCACATCCTCAAGGTATTTGTAGTTTGTAAAAGTGTTGTTATATTATGCTGCTGTATCTATAGAGATAAATGCAGGCATACCCCAATTTATGAGGTAGTTTTATTCATTGGAAATACTAGGCGAAGCAAATCCACATGCCTTAGAAAGTTTTTCCTTCTGAAAGGGCTGTGTCTTTGGATTTTGCAATGATAAACACTTGGTGAGTTTCATTTTTGAAACAAAAAAATTAACTTACCATAACATAAAAAAGGCATTTCATTACATTACATTATAAAATATTGTTTGCTTCCCAGAATATTGGTACTCACGAAAATATTGGTGAAGCTTACTTAATAACCATAAATTAAGGAAATTGAATGGTTTATGGAGGTTAAATAGAGGAAACAGAGGGAGGAGGGAAGACTACCAACAAGGTGATGCTGATCAGCAGCTGTAATCTCTGAGGTTGAGGGAAGCGAACTTAGAAGTCATAATATTTAAATTCATGCACTGAATATAAGGCATATGAATAAACTGTAGAGATACCAACTGATGTTAGATAGTGAGCACTTCTATGCAAATGCATCCACAAGGAGGTCATGATGACTGACTGTCAAAGTTAGAATGAGCCAGAGAGTGTGGAGTAAACTGTTTATACATATAAATACATGATATAAATATGAAATGCCTTCAAGAATGAAGACCACATGTATACACAAAAAACATACTGAAGGTGCATATATCAGGGTACAAATATAACTAAAATTGTAGCTATTAAAAACAACAAAGTATTTGAACAAGTTACATATCTAGGATGCAGTTTGCATTATATAGAAGAAGATGGTAAGTAAAGTAAAAAGTAAAGGTATCCCTGTAACAGGCCATGGAGGCCCATAGGTTTGTGAGATGTTGAGGTTCCCACATTTTCTAGACATTCGGATCATAGATGGCAGTAAGGTTGTCAGCCTTGCGTGCGGCCACTCTTTACCCCCAAGAACATTCCAAGAACATTCCTGTTACTCATTTCTTTTAGAGTCTGAATCGACCCCAGGGCCATAGTGTGGCTGGAAGGATTAGGTAAATTAAAAAAATCCAATGACCTCATCGGCATTCAATCCCGTGACCTTCCAGCTTGTAGCATAGTGCCTTAACCAACTATGCTACTGCGTGGTAGGAATATAATATCTGCCAGTTACGTCAAAATTCCAGGTATTATAAACCAGTTTTAAAATTACCATTAGTCTGGAGGACACCCAAGAATTAAAATTTATAAACCACTGCTAGACCTACATTATTGTATGGCACTGATGACTGATGAGAGAAGATTAAGCAAAAATATTATCGAAGATCTCCGAAGGTTCTTCACTGATCACTTCGAAATCCAGCAGTCGTTTCAATAGTAACGCTAGAACAGCGTATACTTCCATCGAAATGCAATAACAGTGGCCCGTTGCTAGCATTTCCTAAGCAACAGATGAAACTAACTCTTTGATAATGTATTCCCTATCCCGTCCGAGCGCTTCGAAATTTTGACTCAACGTTGCATTCGCAGCAGTCGTTTCAATTGTAACGCTAGAACAGTTAGCGTATACTTCCATGGAAACGCAATAACAGTGGCCTGTTGCTAGCATTTTTTCCTTCATCAGTGCCATCGATCTGCTTTAGTTCATTCAAATAATGCCTCGCAGAAGATCAAACTTGGGTCGTCATACTCGCGGAGAGGAAGCAATGCGTCGAGTAATTGCAAATCAAACTGGGGAAGAACGGGCAGACTGAGCCACAGCAAGGCGTGGCCGGGCACAGCTAGTTGATTATAAAACTGTTAAATATTGGAACAAGCTTGATACATCCAGCCCTTGATTTCAAGAATAAAACGATGGAAAGAGGAGAAGAACTGAAACATGTCAGTGTACATTGTGTAGTCAAGATAAGCTGAGGAATGAAGTCTTTAAAACAACGCTCGACTAAGAAACTTGGTGCAGCAGTAAATATCTGAAGACTTGTATTCAGGAAGTATCCAGCAGGCTCTTGGCCAGGTAACCAGTTACCTTGCCTAAGATTTTTGTTTAACTTTGTCTTTCAAAGCGAATGCCAGGATCACTTTGAAACAGACCATGACCACCACTTCCATAATCTTTACCTACTTACCATTCATGATCATTCTACTGCCTGAATTGAAAACTGCTGAAACCGCTTCGTTACATAGGTTTAAAATCAATCACACAATCAAGAAGGAAAAGCAGCCTGAAATTTACAAGAAATATTATTGCAGTGTGCAGATATGACTGTTCATCAGTTCTTGTTGGCTGGAAATCTAACCTCTCTTGTGCAAGGTGACAGATTCAAATGTATTAGACACTTTAATGTTACTGCAAGAGGACAAACATGTATACCAACAAGTGCACATATTTCTAAACATGTCCTTTCTCTTCTGCACATATCATTGATTTTGATGTCAGTTATTTTATATATGTGTATATTTATTGCAAAGCTGATTGCTATAGAGAGATCACATTGCACAAAGTCATAGTCATTTTCCCTTGTAGTCTCCTACATTATTTACTATACTGAAAAATATTTAAAATAAAAGTTGTCAGTCTTATTCAGATCTGTATTTTATATAATATGAGTATGTATGTGCATGCAAGAAATCATAAAGTTTTGTTTAATCTTCACATATGTAGGGCAGTCAAAAAGTTCTGGGAATTCCCCTGCAGGCGGAGAACGAGCAATAAGATAGCGCGCACACTGTTGTGGTGGGAAGCTCAGCATGTCTGCTCACAACCGCAACAGGTCTGGACAGGTTTCAGTGTGCAGTGTCATTACTGTTCCATTTGGATTAGACATGAGTGTTGGTCATTTGGCACAATGTCGCTGTTTCAACAGCGTGCAAACATCAAGTTCATGTGCAAATTGGGAAAATCTGCTTCAGAGATGTTATCAGCCCTGCAGTAAGGTTACGGTGATACTGCACTAAAGAAATCCACAGTTTATGACTGGTTTTCCTGGTTTAAGAATGGGCAGGAGGCGTTAGAGGATGACCAGCGCAGCGGGAGACCTTCGACATCCAGAACCGAAGAAATGATTGGAAAAATATGACAACTGATTTGATGTGATCGATGAATGACCATCACGGAGTTGAAGCAAGAAGTTGGTACTGTTACTGGCCATTTCTACGTGCAAGTTTTGTAGAGGTCACACAATGCGGTTCGGAGGAAGTGGCGTGACAAGTGGCAGGGACAGTGGTTTCTGCATCACGATAACGCACCGAGCCACACATCGCTTGTTGTACAGCAATTCGTCGCTGAGAAAAACATTCCTGTCTTCACTCAACCACCGTACTCTCCGGATCTCGCTCCAAGTGACCTTTGGGTGTTCCCTACTCTGAAAATGGGCATCAAGTGGACACATTTTGCAACCATGGAGGACATCAAATCGAATGTGACGGCTGAGCTCCGGAAGATTCCTAAAGAAGCCTTCCACCACTGCTTTCAACAATGGCGGGATTGATGGAGCAAGTGTGTATGCATGCAAGGGTCCTACTTTGAAGGTGATTAGGTAAACAATGCCGTATGTCCTACCATTAGAGTGCTATACCATCATTCCAGGAACTTTTTGACTGACCCTCATAAGATACAGGTTATATTGCACCATTATGTATCATAAGTACTTTACTTGACAGCTTTCAAAGTTGTTTTCATGAAAATTCACTAAATAGTTTGGGAAATTAAACATATGGTCAAGTGGATAGAAAGATAATCTGTCTCCTGCAAGCATTCCTTTTTTGCAAAAAGTGTAAAAATGTGAACTTACATGTTGGATCAACTTCAAGTGCCAGTATATGAGATTACTTTCACTCTTACTTGAATATCAAACAAGAACTGTTGATATTGTTTTGGTACAGGTTTTAGAAGTCGGAGAACCAAAAGCTGTTAGCACAGTGGGTAAGAAGCGAATTCGTCTTGTGGAAGATATTTTGAACAAGAAACCAAGTAATTACACGTGGGGATCACTCGATATTGATGAATTCATCCAGAAGATTACCCAGGAAGGGATCACTGATGCCAAGGTGGAGCAGGTTGCCAGTGGCTACATCATTCATCTGGTATACTTTGTTATCTTGTGGGTTATTTATTTATAGTGATGGCTGCAAGGAAGTCAGAAAAAGGCTTCCTTGTCTGAATGCGATGATATAAAGAGAATTTGTGGAGAGAAAAGAATATACCATACTTCCTTGAATGTAAAATTCCCTTTTCTTTCACACATTCAGATGCATCATGCATTTGATGATGTCAAAAAATTATATTGTATGACTAAAGCACAAGAAAAAATCTTCATGCCCATGACACTAGTCATAGAATGGTAAACACAAAAATAATGGTAGAGGAGATTTGAAAAGTATTCCTATGGATTTTCATTCTTAAAAATTTCATAACTTATGATAGTATACAAAACACCTGATTGGGGCTTGGAGGATGAAAGTACCAAGTAGTTTAAATATTAACTAATACTGTTTGTTTAAGCTCTTGGATAATTGCTTCAACCATGTTCACACATTTTATTAGTTTTATCTTTGCTCTTTTTGGAAAATGTGTGCCACTCTCTTTACAATAGACAAACCAACCAAATCTATGGAGATGAACCCTTCTTGAGAAGCCACCAGTTGTGTAGCTACTCAAGGATTTCCCAACATTTTATGGAACACAGTTTCATTACCATGTTCACAAGAACCCTCCACTGGTCCCTGTCCTGAACCAGATCAATCCAGTCCATTCTGCCCAATTCTGTCTTTCTAAGATACATTCTAATTTTATCTAACCACCTATGTCTTGGTATTCCTAGTGAAGAATGCCATCTTTCTGGATGTGACGCCGTGTACATCTTGTATGAACTGACATTTTGGAGGAATGTATTGCCTCCATCTTTGGAGTAGAAAAATCCATGAGCAGGTGGCTGCTGGTTCCTTGCTCACGGGTTTTTGTACCCTGAAGATGGAGGCGATACATTCCTCCGAAACATAAGTTCACATAAGATCTACATGGCACCACATCACAGAAAACGGCATTCTTCATAGTCACCGCCGTGAAAACCTCAAATCTTTCCTTCTGGCTTTTCAACCAAAATTGTGTATGCATTCCTCTTCTCCCCATTCATGCTACATGCTCTATCCATCCCTTCGTCTTTGACTTGATCATTCTAATTATACTTGGAGAAGAGTACAAGTGATAAAGCTCCTCATTATGCAGTTTTTTTCCAACATCCTGTCACCTCATCCCTCTTCAGTCCAAATATTCTCAGCACACTATTCTCAAACACCCTCAGTCTATGTTCGGCCTTAATATCAGAGACAAAGTTTCATGCCCATACAGAACCACAGGCAAAATTATAGTTTTGTATGTTCTAATTTTTACATTTTTAGACACAAGATGAAAATACAGAAGGTTCTGGATTGAATGGCGGCAAGCATTACCCGAATTCAGTCTCCTGTCTTTACAGTAGAAATGACAACAATCCTAATGCATCATACCACCGCTTTTATTGTTGAAAAACACTTTTGGGTTACATGGATTGAATTTCTTTGTTGGTGGTCAGATTATATTTTGTAGAAACATTTCTGTTCTTTTTTCAGTGGCTTCATACAATCAGGGGCTTGTAGAAACAAAATTTTACCCTTTCACAGTCATGTACAAAATGCTTATTAGGATATTGTTCATTTGAAAATGAAAACAGCATGTTTAGTTACATTTGATGCTAGAGAGTAAGCTTGTGTTTGAACCTGTTTGTGCCTGCTTGTTCACGTACACCATAACTACATCCATGGTAGCAAATCAATCAGAATTGAGTCCATATTCATATGATATCTCTGACTGGGAATGACCTCGTAAATAAGATTCTGAAACACTGACATAAAGTTCCAAGACTGAGCTTTTAATGTACAGTGCTGCCATGCTGCTGCAAATTTCCCTCTTAAATCCACCTGATTTGCCAAGAAATTGTGATATTTGAAGCATCATTAATTGGAGACCATGTAGCATAAAGCCCTTTTAAGTTTGAACAGGGAATTGTTAAGAGGAATATTTATGAAGTATACCTAACCACATCAACTTTAAAAGTTTTCAAGGACAGCTGCATTCTCTAAGATACTAAAGTTGATAGAATAACAGTGTGCACTAAGTGATCCTGTTATGTAGAGAGAATGATTTTGTCAAAGGTTGTCTATACTTCATCAGAAATACCTGACCTCTTCTTCTCTTCAACTGGCAACAAAGCATCTTAATAGTCATTACCTAGTTCACCACGAAACACATGAAATAAATGTCTTTCAGTTACCACTTATCTGGCTATAACTATCGATGGTTACATCTACACATGGCAAAATGGAAGGAAAAACATACATCACCGCAAAAATATACCAGTCTATACAACACATGCTGCTCATAAATTATATTTCGGATTTTAAAATTAAATTATGAAAATTAGGAAAACATGTAAAAACAAGTTATGACAGTGTACAAAAGTATAGCAATTTCTCCAGTAATTTTAGTGCACCTGGTGATGGCCAAATAGGCTGAAACATGTTGTGCAATAGACAAGTTAAATAAAAATATTGTAACGTGGATGGCCCAACAGGAAGTAGGCATCACGTGAACTCTGCATTTCCACGAGTGACATCATGTACTCCCACTCCTCCCATCATTACGCAAGGCTCGTTAAACACTTCTCCCCGCTAGGCCATGATGTCATGCAACAGGCAAGTCCGTGCAGCAACTATTGTCAGCCTACAACAAGGCAAGGATAGGACCTTGTGGAGGGGTCAGCCCCCTCCAAAATGGAAAAAGAAACTGCAAGCAGAGGAGGAACCGGTAATGTAGAAACACCGGCCTTCCCAGCATGAATGAGTACCTGAGGAGTGAACGTGATACAACAGATCGACGAACGCTGGACCATGGAATTACTTGGGACGAACAATCTTAAGAAGGGAGCGGATGTAACAGCTGGAGAATAGTCGCTGCAAAAGGAGTAGCCAAACCAAAAGAAGATGCAGCAAGCACAGCCTTGAAAGAAAAGGAACAGAGATGTACCGTTAGGCTGTTCGGGATAAACAACCTTTAGAAGGGAGCAGTGTAACGTGGATGGCACAACAGAAAGTAGGGGTCACGTGAACTCTGTGTTTCCATGAGTGACGTCATGTACCCCCATTCCTTACGCAACGCTCGATAAACACCCCTCCCCACTATACTGTGATGTCACGCAACAGGTGAGTCCATGCAGCAACTATTGCTAGGCAATGCATAGGTAGAAACACCTGACAACAATACCTGAAATCTGTTGCCAAGCAGCAGTGTGTTCTCTATGTTGTCTCTGTTGAGCCTAGATAGGGAGCAGTGAACACTATTCAGGAGTAGTGTGAGTGAGGATTGAGCCAGTTACTAGTATCCAGTATGAATTGAAGTCCAGCAGCTACGAGTTGAGTTGTATTGAGTGCATGGAAGTGACTCCATCAGGAGAAGTAATTGTGATACTGCAGATGGCAGTAATTATGTAAATGTAAGAGCAAGTGTGGAATAAATTCACTACATCCAAGACAGAGTGAAGTTATTTGTCGCATGTCACACACCCAACACATGACAATATACAACTTGAAACAGTTGAGGGTTCTAAAATTTTAAAACTTGTAGTGTGAGATGTACATGAGACGGCAGTAAACACATGAATAAATAGTAGACACTGTGCAACAGGATGCTACAATACAGCATAGTGGTTGAGTGGTTGTACATGTGTGGAAGTGAAGGGAAAACATTTGAATACCTTGGAAAGGTATAACATTTATAAAATCAGTAAAGACAACCTACATGTGAATGACACATATATCAACACAGACCCCCAGTCATGTTATGAAAGTGGGATTAGGCAGTTGCATATACGTACTACACATTTTTAGCTAATAGAGACACCTGATGATGGCCATATACAGCTGAAATTTGTAGTGAGGAGAGGGAGATAATAAATGGGTTGCACTGTGGAAGGAAGTATATAGTGTGTGACTGAAGAGTATATATGTATATGTGTATTTTCATATGTTAAGAGTGACTCTTGACGGGGTTTTCGGTTGGAGATTTGATATATTGACCACTTTACCACACAACTCGTGACTACATGTAATTCTAGCGCCATCACTCATTTGCACACTTTACCAATTACTACAGCACATACTAAGTCTTCAGCCTGCTTTCACTGGTTTTCCCATAACAGATCTTAACAGTGGAGATTATTTAACTATGCTGACCATGTCGTCTCTTCACAGATTCCCGTACAATTCTGAATTCTTGCTTCAGTTGTCCTCCTTATCACCTTGACTGTAAGCTACTCAGGAAGAATAGCCTTAAGGAGGGAGCATTGTGTCATGTTTGCTGAAGGCAAGAACTATGAAGCCAGCAGAGACAGCTGTTACTGAGTAATGGCTTCGCAAACAAGCATGTTTCCATGGCAGCAATTGCATACAGCCATAATTTGAAGCAGTGTTTTCTATGCAGTCCATGCCGAGATGTTATAAGCAGGACAAGTCTAGAGACATTTGTAATGTAACCCTGACTGACAGTCAGAGTCAGTCAGTTAGTTGAGAGTTGCTGTAGCTGAGGCCAGGTACAGTTTGGGAACCCAGGCGAATGGGAACATCAGCCATTGGAAGCCATTACTAGAAGACTGGTGAAGTCACAGCAGGCTGAGAAGACTTAAGTCTGTGCTTTAGTGAGCTGAAAGTTGTGAATTAGTGTCACAGTTATAATTACTTGTAATCACGGATCTGTGAGCGTTCAGTACATCCAATTACCAATCCAAACCCTGCCTGTAGTCACTCAACTGCCACGACACAAGTGACTTCTGAAATGGCCCTTCTGTGTCCCGGTATAAAATAGACAGAAGTGAATTGACAGGTTTGATCTTTGATTAGACCATGCTTCCTCTGCTTCCAGCAAAATGAAGACACACTGATTCAGGTGGAAGACTCGTCAACACATATTTTCTGTGAGGGTGACGAGCAACTCCGTCTTCGACTGCGTAACATTCTCCTCCAGTGCCTCAACAAGTTCTAATATGTGCAGAAATTAAATGTATTTTTATTTTATACAAATAAATTATTATTTTTGCTGTTATCATTATTGATATTTCTACTAGTGTGTTTCTTCTTGTAATATAGTATTCACTGCTTTTTTTTGTATTGTCCTGCAAGCATTATAAGCCTTTATGTCACTTTTTTATCCCAGTGGTCGTTTACTCTACATCTGCGTATTTCAACATTTCTGGAAGGGAGAGTTGTAAAATGAGTTTCTTACTTTTGCAACATCTGTCTGTCTGTCCACATGTAACAACTCAAGAACAGCTGAATGGAATTTATTTGTTATAAATCCCATAAAAAGTTTATCTTTATACAGAATGTCCCAAGAGGGAAGGTCAGTACTCTGGGAGGTCATAGTATCAGCCATTCTAAGCAAAAAAGTGCATGTGTACATGTGTCCTATTCTAAATGGTTTCCGAGATAGAGCTATGTACACTGTAGAGACGAGCAACATGTCATGTCATCACTTGAGTTGACAGTGGGATTTTCGGAAATGTACAATATTATACTAGGTAAACTGTACCAACTTTGTCACTTGAATAATAAATATTGGTATTAGAGACGGTATGATATCTCTTTCTTATTAACAATTTTAAAACTGTATAGTGAAAAAGCTCCATCTCAGAAACCATTAATAGGATACATGTACATATACAACCTTTTGCTTACAATGACTGATACTATGACCTCCCAGAATACTGACATTTCCTCCTGGCACACCTGTGTTATATCCTGAATAGCCATTTTAGGTAGATATTTTCCTGAGAACATTTATTTAAGACATCTGAAATTTGTGGTTGCTGTATTTATGATTATGCGTTCATTTGTTATTGCTGTAGCATGAAAATGTGAATTTCAGCTCGAACTCTCTGTTAAATAAATTAACAAAAAATTTGTTTTGTAGTTTGGAATTTAAATTCATGTTAGTTGTTAAAAAGAGAAGATGGGTAAATTTTTGTGCCATTTGTTCTTCTGTTTAACGATACTGCACCACTGTGCATATACATAAGACTGAGAAGCCTGAGCCTTAAAAGTTTTAACTTATTTTTTGACATTATTTGCTGGTATGCACAATAAGAAACGTTTCTGGAATGGAGTATAAAACAATTTAAATTTTGCATTTGAGGTTCTCATAGTGGTGACTGTGAAGAATAGGGTTCTCCTAGCTGTAATAATATGTAGTTGAGAAGACGCCTTACATTTTGGAGGAAAAAACTTCTTCCATCTTCAGGATCACATAGTAATTTGAACAAAAAGACAACAAGTGATAATACTCCTTTACAGTACTTTATGAAGCGCATGGAACATTTCATTTTACAGTGCTTTCCTGTACATTGAACTCAAGATTATTGGCAGTAATGGATTGGAGGGCCAATGACAGTGGCTGCACAGTCTACAGGATCTAAGGCATGAACTGTCTGCCTACTCAAACACTGGGATTGTGGGTTGAAATCCCACTCAAGGCATGGATGTCTGCCTGTGTTTATTCTGTGTCTGTGTTGTCCTGTGTAGGTAGCTGCCTTGTGATGGCCTGATCCCCCATCCAAGGAGTCCTACCAACTGTCTTGGTATTAAGAAACTGAAGTGAAACAAAGCACTTCATGGATGGAGAGAGAATGTGTAAGACAGGTGGCACAAATAATTAAATACTGCAGTTAATACATAGATCTAGAAATACTTAATGTCCATGCTGCAGTCAACCCTGAATATCATATTTATTACTTTGAAATTTGATACATGATTACGAACTCTGTCTTCAATGCAAACCATATATTATAAGTCTTTCGTTTTGCTCTCCCCTACACACTACATGTTTCGGCCACAAACGGCCATCATCACGTGTATTACTCATGTATCTGTCACACTGTACTTAGTTTAACATTTAAAATTTAAAAACACAGGTCTTCCTGATTGTTCCTTTCATCGTTGTTACTTTGAAATATCCTAATTCTTTCGTTTCTGTAGCTGTTTTCCCAATTCCCTAACACTAACTGGAAGTATACAAATTATAGTGTACATCACGCATAATACAGACAGATACTAACACAAAAGTAAACGATGTTGGCTTGTGGTCTGCTTCTTGCTTGGCACGCTCTTCGACCCTGAACATGGAGACAATATGTTTCTCCAAAACGCCAGCCTTCATCCGAACTATTCAATCAATCAATCAGTCAGTCAATCAGTTTATTTGTTCCAAGAATCCATATTTGGAGATACAACCTCTGGATATAGAACAAGTCAGTAACTACATATTAATATAATATGCATATCGTACATGAGTCAAGTATACTATATAACTTAACTACCTACAGATTTCATACACATCAGTCATACAGTACGTCATCCCACTTGCAGCAATGCAATAACCAAAAGAAACCCTGTATCCTAAATTTATATATTTTTAAGCCATTGGATACAGAACACGTCACATACATACTGTGTCGTATTTGTGCTATGCAGGACACCCCGTCCCCCGCCAGTGGTGACGTAACACCTTCGATGTGTTGCCGTTGCTACCGTAATAGGCCAGTCAACACCCTGCCCACTCCCACGGTGACGTAACCCGGGATGCCACCGTTGCTACTCAGCAGTAAACAAGTCCCGACAGTGCTGCTAGGCTATCGGCAAACACAGCGTCAGACAACAGTGGTGCCTATTACGTAACTGTTTTCTGTGTTGTCCGTAATGGGGCTAAATAAGGAGCAGCGAACACTATTCAAGGGTTACTTACGAGTTAGCCAGGAAGTCAACCAGTCAGTTGTAGTCTAGCATTCGCAGGCCAAGTAATTGTAATACTGCAGATAGCAGTAGTTGTGAGATTGTAAATTGGTGTGATTGTAAGAGCGAGTGTGAAATAAAATTCGCTATATCCAATATAGTGTGAAGTTATTTGTCGCGTTATACACCCAACACGTGACAATATATTAGTTCCGAACACAGAACCAGTCATCCTACAACAGAATTCATAAAAGTTACAACAATTATACATATTACAAAAAGATAAAACAGTTCCATCCGGTGTGACTGGTAAAGATTTTTCTTATTTCAATTCTTCATGCCCTTACAGGTTTTGGTCCTTAGAGACCATCATCAGAGGGACATTGATACAGTCTGGAAACCACTATTACGATAGGTGTTCTGAGTGTTAAAATATATATGTGTATATATGACGATGGTCTCTAAGGACTGAAAAATGCAAGGGCATGAAGAATTGAAATAAGAAAAATCTTCACCAGTCACACTGGATGGAACTGTTTTATCCTTTTATAATATTTTTAGTATGATGGACCAGAATGAAACAAATCAAATTAAACATAATTCAGTAATTTGGCAACTAATATTTCTGAGAACTGGAAATAGTCCTCTTACATCTGCATTCACAAAAGAACAATTAAATACTAGCAATTCAACAAACATGCATAATTCATCACTCATACAATTAACAGCCATATGGTATAAAACATCACACACACACACACACACACACACATATATATATATATATATGATAGTTCTGAAAACAAATTCAGTCCTTCTATAGTCACATTCTTAAAAGAACAACAGTAAAATAATTTAATACCTTGACAATATGAGCAATTTATCAGCACCTTACTGAGCTCACATTTTGGAAATGCATATACAAGTATCAAATGAATGTCTTACAACACATGATACCTTATATTCAGCTTTATAAAAGGTTCAGTTCGTCCTATATTTAAAAAACTCATCATCATCATCATCAGTAATCTGTCAGACGACAGGTCCACAGTCTCTTCCAAAACAGTTTCTCCACTTAATGCGATCTTCTGTTTTTGGAAAGAGACTATCCAGGAAAAGTGATAATGTGGTAGTTTTTCCATTTGCTTTCCACATCGCAGTACAACAGCCGTTCAAACCACTCTGGTCACGCCTGTTGCTATACGAACTTGAACCATCTCGAGCATCATTTGCTCTGTGCTTCAAGTCGCTGCTGATGACGCTGCTTCCGACATCAGTATCCAATGTATAAAATAAATGGGAGTGCAAGAAGTTTTTCAGTTCCAATTTAAATTGTTTTGTATTATGGAACCGATCTTTTATTGTGACAGGTAAGCTGTTAAACACCATAATCCCAGTATAATAAATTCCCTTCTGAAAGACTGACAGATGACACAAAGGGTGATGCATATCAGATTTAGTCCTAGTATTGATATTGTGAATCTCATAATTCACTTTGAAATTATGTCTGTTGTTGATCACAGTGAAAGTGAATATATGTATTGATGTTCTGGTGGTACTATTTCTAGTTCTCCAAAATATTTCCTGCATGACTCTCTACCTCTAATCCCCATAATAATTCTAATAGCTTTCTTTTGTAACCTAAAAATTATGTTGCTATGGCAAGAATTTCCCCCAAATGTTAGTCCATAAGTCATAATCGAGTGAAAGGAAGAATAATACACCATCATCAATGATTCCTGGGTCAAGAGCGACAAGAGAGAGTCATGCGTGAAGGCTAAGAGGGCTATATGCTTCGATTAATTGTATGTAATGTCACCGTCATTTTCAAATTTACGGCGGGTAAACATTTCAATAACAGTGGAAACAATAAGATTTCTTTGTCCTTTATTTAACCAATCATATGCCTATTTTGAGGAAGGTCTCGATTGCGTTGTAGTGTCAGAATACATGTTCGCCAATATTACATTCGTAGGCATAAAAGTATCAACAGTGAATATTAATTTGAATTGCTTATGTATTTATACATTCAATACCATTCATATATAGATGCATTTAATATATATACATATGCACATACAATACAGCAAAACCAATAATGCAGAATGGTAATACATGTGATATTAGCGAATTTTGTTTGGAACATTGGTGTCATTGGAAGCGCGTATCCCATCACACGTGTTAAGTGAGAAGATCCGTACTGGTAAACTTAAATTGTATGTTATTGTTTATTTCGGTTATACTAGTATTAATATGTTGTTCGTGCAAGTGGATGTTTTCCTATAAAGTATTTTGATTATATTTGCCACTTTTCTGTTGAGTTTTGTGGGAATATTAACTTTTATATGCTATTGCTCAAGATGGCTGCCTCACTGATTTCGTTGGCCGCAGTCGCAGCTGTAGTAGCCGGCAACCATATTCCGCTGCGTACGATGGAATATTTTCTGCTCGACACACTGTTTCAGCTGACCTGTACACTATATAAATATGTTAACGGAATCTGTGATTATTCCTCATTACTTTGATGTGATTATATTGTTAGTTATGGAGGTAAATACTTAGATAAATTAACAAGTTCTGTTGCGTGTAGGTCGACACGACGGAAGCGGAATGCGGGCGAGGCCGTTTTAGTGATTGCGGCGGGTAATGGGGGGATCGCCGCCATGTCGTGAGTGAGTGGTCTCGGTGACGTGCGAGGCAAACAGGCAAGCGAACCCGTCGCCCCGGCCCCGTCTCTGCCGTCCGTTGTGGGTCGGTAACTTCGGCTGGCCTCGGACTACATGCCGCTTGTTTTACCCGGGCTGGAGACCGGGGAAGCTACGGTAGTGTCACAAGATGAGGGCCGATCGAGAAAGCGTCTGATTACGGTGCACACTGGCGGCTTCAGACTTTTTACGTGCAAATAATAAAATTGTATACTGTTGTCTATTTTGTGTTAGGTATAATAATAATAATAATCGTGATTTGTTTTGTGAGTTACATCCAAAATTTATCACCTAGTAATTACAGTTTTATGAGGTCGAATTAAAGTTCATGAATGACGTATTTTGTAATCATATTCAAGGCTTCATGTAACAGCATTGCATGATTACATGCCGATTTCATCGGTAAGTTTCTTTGGTGGAACATGGGTATTTTGAAGCATTCATTACTTTTTTTATTTTATCCTGTAGATCAAAATATGTGTATACAGGACATATGCACTTCAGTAGTTATTTCATTTATGAACATGATCTGAAGTTCATGCTTCAGTGAAGTAAGAAAAGAAGTATCAACCTTAAATACAATTAATAAAGCTAAAATAACAATAAAAAATAAAGTATTCATAAACATTATGTGCAAAATAATGAATACATAAACAGATTCTAATTCAACATTTTCTATCAGAATAGTAATTTGGTGATGGTCGCAGCAAATTAAGTTATTCGAAATATCTGGTCCTCTCATGCTAATGTGTTTTAGTATTGTCACATGTTAATGAATAGACATGGGTTTTGGATTGATAATTGGATTTATTGAACACAAACATGTAACTACAAATAACTATAACACTCACCAGTCTACAAACTCTATGTATCACTATAGCAAATACTGAGGCATCTCAGTTTGTTCTCTCTTCACTGGTCATTGCTTGTTTGAGGTTTTTTAACAGTAGAGATTCCTCTGCTTTTGTGAATGCAGCCAACCACCAGCTGCAACTGCAGACTCATAACTGTCTGATGTCAACTTCTGACTGACTTCAGTCAAATTCGGGTTATGACCTACAGTCAATTGACCAGTCAGTCTTGGTGTCAAGCCTCTTCTGGGGTCTAAGACCAGATTTTGTTACTGTTAGACAGTTGCAGTTTTAATCATTTCTTGCATCCTGTTGTGTGTTTAATTAATAGTAGAGTGAATTTACCGACTACACAAAACGTTTTTTATTATTATCACTACATGTTTCAACCTCAAGAGGTCATCCTCAGGTGTATGAACACAGCTGTATAATTACAGTTAAAAGTTAAAAGTTCGTGAATCGAAGTTGTGAGCGTAAGTAAAATGAGACTGTAAAAACAAGTGAAAGTGTAACCAGTGACATGTATTGAACTTTGATTCACAAACTTTTAACTTTTAACAATTAAATTATAATAATAATTTTAACCTGTGTTTTATAAAAAGAACTCGATATATTAGTGAGCGTAAATCTGGATAAGATACAGGGTCGAATGAGTGAAAAGTGAATGTGACCACGTGTAATTATACAGCCGTGTTCATACACCTGAGGATGACCTCTTGAGGTCGAAACATGTAGTGATAATAATAAAAAACGTGTTGTGTAGTCGGTAAATTCACTCTACTATTAGTTGCAGTTTTGTCGATGTGGGGAACCCTCTGTGTTGAGGAAGAAGGTAGGTATCTGCCTNCTAATTTTGCTCAGAGGTCTCCTAGAGACATGAGGATCTTTTACGTGCCGTAAAGCTATGACACAGGACACACAGCTTGAAGTCCCTCCCGGAGGACTTGTTCCCTGAATTTTTCTGCCCTTAAAAATTCCACGACCTCCGCCAGGTTTGAACCCGCGTACCTTGAGTCATGAGGTGGGAATGTTACCCCTAGACTACAGAGGCTGCTATATTATTATAGATAGACAGAAACTGTGCGGGGCTATGCTTGTCTGTATTAATGTCCTGTAAGATTTTAAAAATGTTTGAACTGCTATAATTCATTTCTCAGTCTCATAACTAACTCCCTGGAGTAGAGTCTGTCTTGAGAAGTTAGTGGAATGTTTATGGAATCTGAAGGTTCATTATTGTGTGCGTAGAAGCTACCATTAATCCCTATTCTGAACCAGAAGAATTGTATTGCATTGTATTGAATTTTATTTCATCCATTTTGCTACATAGTAACACTTGGACAAGTCATTTTGTAATATAATTTAATGAAATAAACCTACAAAGTTACAAGCATACTACCAACATTTGTTACAATCATAAGCAATATATAAATACAATATTTAAAAAAATATACAAACTACTATATACAGCTCATGAATGGCTATGACATCCAAACATAAGTACTTGCACCCTCCCCTTTTTTATTAAAACTAACAAATTAATTTATCATATAAAAATAATTTTTCAATAAAAATGATATTAAGTATTTTTTAAAAGCTGAAAAACCCACCAAGTTTTTTATTTTGGCACCCTACTTTACAATTCTATCCCCATATTTACCACACTTTTTTAAATAATGTAGTTCTGCAGAATTGAACATGAAAATCTTTTTTTATTCTTGTATTATAACTATGAATATTTATATTTTGGATCAAATCTGCTTTGTGCTTTTTTATGTAACATACCTCTAAGGTATACAAAGATGTGACTGTGAGGATGCCATAATCTTTAAAAATTGGCTGCATTACTCTTGTTTACCAAGTCCACTAATTATTTGCAACACCCTCTTCTGCATTTTAAATACCTTTATACTATCACCTTCAACCCCCCCCCCCCAAATATTATTCCATATCTCAGTAACGATTGAAACTTTCCAAAATAAATGCCTCTAACATATTTGGACTCAAAACTCCTCTTAGAGATTTAATTATATAGGATGTGTTACTAAGTTTTGAACATAATGAGTTGATGTGGGTATTCCATTTAAGGTTTTCTATAATATCTATACCTAAAAATTTCAGTTCCGATGAATAAGCAGTTTCCAAGTTATTATAGAGTATCTGCAGTATAACTACAAACCTATTTTTACTAAGATGGAATGACATAGCAACTGTTTTTTAATATTTATTAAAAGGTTATTTACATGAAACCATGTTTCAAGCTGATTCATGATCTTATTTATTTTCTGTTGAGCTACATCTTTATCTTTATCAATAACAAGTACATTAATATCATCTGCAAACAATACCATTTCTGCACCTTGTGCATTTAGTGGGAGATCATTTATATATAGAAGAAACAGTAGTGGTCCCAGAATTGACCCCTGTGGTACCCCATGTATTGTGTCTCTCAAGGGTGATATATATATATATATATATATATGTATTTTGGATATTTTCATTCAGGTGATTTATTTCAACAAATTGTACTCAGTGAGATGTTGTATTTTAGTGTCCTGTTGCACTGATTCACGTCCATGATGTGTATGTATTGACCGTCTTCTAGTGCACACAATCTCACTTGTCACTTCACTACATGTTTCGGCATCACTGTGCCATCCTCAGGTGTGTTATTTACGTTAAACTATTGCACTGCTCGCCATCATGTGTCGTTTATTATAGTACATGACGAATATACATTTTAAATCATTTTATAAACGACACCTGATGGCGAGCAGGACAGTAGTTTAACGTAAATAACACACCTGAGGATGGCACAGTGATGCCGAAACATGTAGTGAAGTGACAAGTGAGATTGTGTGCACTAGAAGACGGTCAATACATACACATCATGGAAGATTTAAACCATAAATTAGTAATCCCTCTGATCCCATAGTGACAATGGTCTCTAAAAAAAAGCGGCCCCTAACCCTTGAAGCAGAAGGAACAGAATCTGCGAGCAAGAAGATGCGATTGAGTGATGGTGCAAGCACAAGCCACAGTGTTACCTCAGTAGCTAATAAGTCTTCCAGGAGCAGCATAGCTGGGTCACGGGGCAGAAAGTCACAAGATGCAAGAGACACCATTATCAAAACTGAAGTTTATGATGTTGACGATGATGACGATGATGGTAACGATGATGCAGGCCAGACACATCACACAAATCAGTCAAATGTTGGTGAGTTTACCTGTTTGTTGTTGGTTTGTGAATTGAAAAATCCTTTTTTTAGGTTTTCTCTTACAGAAAAGGCATTGGGACTGGAATACTGTATCTAAAAATCAAGTTGTGAGGGTTTGACACCATATAAATATTCAGAATCTATATATTAATTTAGGTTCACATTAGTGAATATATGTTGCATTGAGAGGAAAACCTCAGCTTTATATTGGTTCATTATTCCATAAGAGTGGTAGGATTTGAAGCAGCCCTCCAGATGCAATGAATGTGGCATCTCTTGGACACCTTGCAAGATCTTGACTGAAACTGTTGATGTAGGTGCCAAACTGCTTGCCCCAGATTTTAATTGCAGCCTTGAAGAACTGTGAATTAGTAGAAGTCTTCCACCTACTCTGCTTTGTGAAAGAGTAATATTTTGCCTCAAACTTTAACCCATATACTGAAGTCAGTGAAATGTATCTTTTTCTTGGTCATATCCTTTCGTGTATTGCCATATCAACTAAGTAAAAGACTGTAGTTATGTATCCTCTCACTGTACAATGTAGTACTGGGAAAGTAATTTTAACGTTTGCATTCAGTTGCGTGTATACAATCAACATATACAAATTCCACCATCAACACAACAATTGTCTATTAACATATACCATATTTACGCATGTATAGGCTGCACATTTTTTGCCAGAAATTCAAGAGGAAAACTGGGGTGCGGCTTATATTCGAAATATTTGAAATCACACTTCATTTAAAAAAAATTATATTCATAAACAGTAATACAGGGTGTAATACTCCTGAAATAATATTCCAAGAAAATTATTTTTTCTATAATTTCTGTCTGAAAATTGTGCCTATACATGTGTAAATACGGTATAGCACTACATGTTTCTACCCAAATGGGCCATCCTCAGGTGCTGCAAATCTCACACACTCAACCACTGAACTGCAACGCTCGCGTTCCCATTTATATACATATGGTTCAAGAAAGTTACTTTATATATATTCAGCTCATCAACTAGACTAGACTAAACTAGACCAGACATTGATTCAAACAAGAATCATACATGTGATTAAACATTAAAAATAACTATTAGGTTAAAACAAATTTAACAGTTAGGTCAAAACTAAATCTAAAATTGATTATAAAAAACTTTGTAAGCTGCTTATGAGCTTCATGTCTGTTGTTGTAGGAGACCACACATAGCCTACACCAAATTCTTCTGTTACTTGCTGTGTCAAACCGTTGTGTTGCTATCATTATGTTAACTTCTAGAAAATGAACTCTTTCACATTGTCGGATGCCAATGGTTAATGTTGTGTTGTCTGTTTTATGTGGTGTACTTTGCTGCATGAGTATAAATCATGCAGCAAAGTGCATCAGCCCTTCTTTGAATATTAAGCATCACTGTCTTACAGTACCTTCACCCATTACATTTTATTCTAACCACAGCACATAATTCATGATGGATTTCTGCAGTACTCATGTTTTTGCCAAGAAAACCTATGATAACTGTGAATTTCAAGCTAGCAGGATTATCAATCGCAGGACACATCATAACTCACTCTGTAGAGACCAGAACAAACAGTAGGTGACCAGTTGTTTGATTGTTTACAAGGCAGTGAGTCATGTCATGTGTGCAAGCTCTCCCCTGCTTCTACATTAGTTGCCTAAAATAAATGAAGCTTACTTTATGAATAGCCTTCGTATTATTATTTTTAAAAATTCGCTTGTTGCTGTGTGAAGGGTTGACAAGATGTGAACGTCTTTTTGAGCTCTCCACTTTACAGCCAAAATGTTCTTGAAGATAACACTTAGCAGCCTATTTACCTCCTGGTCTAGAAGTCAGATCATGCATAAATGCAACCCCATGACTGGAATTATTAACAGAACTCTACTCTCTGTCTCTTCTCATTGATAATGCATATGTGATGGGAGTTCTGAGGCACATAGTCAAGGGTGGATATACACACTTCCTTGGTCTGGTGGATATAAAGCTAAGAAATGCTGTAGCATGTAGATTATACAGTGTATGGAACTGATTCCAAGCAATACATTTTGCTTTTATTGAATGGAGATGAGAAAACTGTTCCATATACGTTTAGTGTCAGTGGTCTGGCAGCCCACTGCTAACCAGACCATTCATCATTGTTATCTAGTTTTGTAGTTTTGAATTAGATATATTTTTTCTTCATACTTAAAACAGTTCCTACATTATGAGTTCCTTCCTTGCTCCATTTTCTTACAAGGGAAGCATTTATTCCATACATTGCACGATACATGATGTTCTGTAGACTGTTTTGGCCCAGCTTCCACTCCTAGTTTGCTTTCAATTCAGTTTTGGCATCTTCTCTCTGTTCTGTCATCACTGGAAACTGTACTGTCATTTGTAATAATTTCATCATTGCTGCATCCAGAGTCACTATTCCTGCAAAGGAGAGCTTTAATGTTATCCTCTTACACATGCCTACCGTGTCATTTTTATGTTGTATTACCAGCATTCAAACTCACAGTTTTTTTCACCATTTTTGCTGTCACCAAGATTTTTCATGTGGACATTGTAATGTGTGGCCATGTTGCAGAAACATTCATTAAGATACCTGAGAATTATACATCACCATCTTGTAGGTAAAGTTGAAACTACATGGTAAACTACCAAGACAGAATGGTTCTATAAGTCAGCATTCAGTTCCTGCAAAACATACTTGGAATGGTTTTATACGCTAATCTGATGGGTTAATATTGTGTACTGAGAAGATCTTTTACAGTAATTGTGTTCCACAGTGGAACTTTATTCTTTATGAGTGTTCGTTCTTGCATTTCCATACACAAATTATGTAACACCGATCTATCACCAGTCATCCCTTAGAACTTTTGTATGTGTATTTTGAAAAATCTGTTGTCCCTAATTGTATGTATTACAAACCATATGTCCAAAAAGTATCCAACTTTGTCTTTTTCTGCTGTAAGTAGTGGCCAAAGGGGTGGGGAAACTGAGCGTAGTGGTAGAAGGGTCTTTCATGCGCATGCGTGATTTTCTGCTAGATAGTGAAGTGGTGTAACACGTGTTCTTCGCATTCTCGTTTCACTCAAGAGGACAGAATGCTTGGAGCAGCGATGCTGCATCAAGTTTTGTCAGAAACTTGGGGATACCCAAGCGGAAACAATTCACAAAATTCAGCAGGCTTTCGGCGATGATGCAATGGGGGTCACTCAAATTAAAGAGTGGTACAACCACTTTAAACATGGCCGTATGTCGGCGGACAGTGAGCAGCGTTCCGGGAGACTGTCAATGAGCTGAAATGCTGATGTCATTGAAAAAGTGCAGACGCTGATCATGGAGGACCATCCTTTGGTCATCCGTGAAGTTGCTGATGAGGTTGGGATCAGCAGAAGTTCCACAAACACAATTTTAACTGAGGATTTGGGCATGCAAAGAGTGGCGGCAAAATTTGTGCCAAAGCTGCTTTCGCCAGAGCAGCAACACCTCCGTCTTGAGGTCGCACAGGACATGCTGGAGTGTGCCAACAGGGATCCTGAGTTCCTGAAGACTGATCACTGGTGATGAGTCGTGGGTGTACAGATATGACCCAGAAACCAAGGTCCAGGTGTCACAATGGAAGCATCCAACATCCCCAAGGCCCAGAAGAGCACGACAGGTTCAGAGCAATGTGAAGGTGATACTGACTGTTTTTTTTTGTATTACTGGGTTGTTGTGCATCATGAGTATGCACCACTAGGCCAGACTGTGAATAAGGAGTACTACCAAGAAGTCCTCCACTATCGTGATGCAGTTCAGCACGAGAGACTGGAGCTGTGGGACGCATGCAACTGGCAACTGCATCATGACAACGCCCCAGCTCATTCGTCACACCTGATCCAGGGTTTCCTGGCCAAGCATGGCATTCCGCAGGTTTGCCAGGCTCCCTTCTCTCCTGACATGGCTCCTTGTGATTTCTGGCTGTTCCTGAGATGGAAGACACCGCTAAATGGCTGCTGTTTTGACAGCCGCGAGGACATCATACAGAATGTGACGGCACAGCTGCATGCCAATCCAAAAGAAGCCTTCCAGAATTGCTTCCAGCAATGGAAGGACCGCTGGGCTAAGTGTGTGGAATCACAAGGGGCCTACTTTGAAGGCGATTAGGTATGGTAACCACCCAGATACAGAACTTTGTTTTGCCGGCCCAAGGTCGGATACTTTTTGGACAGAGTAGTACAACCAACTGCTTTGTATATCAGAAGTCTCCAATATACCTTCTGCAAAATCTTGTAACTGCTGAGGTGTTTGCTGAAAGTGGTGATAAAGTAATGAAGTCCAAGATGTCCCAACTTGTATAGTTAGGATGATCATAGCCATGCTGTTTAGCAATGCATGCAACAAATAAATGGAATCGACTCCTGCATCTTTTGACTCCTGACTAATGGAATATCGTATTTATTGCAGATATTCCTGACTGGCCAGAAGCAGATTTGATGGAGCTCGTGAAGCGTATAGAGAAAGAGATTCCTCAGAAAGATAGCCTTCGGTTTGATTCCCGTGCCGACAAGCTCAATTGGGATAATGTAAGGCAGCATTTGTTTTTAAATAGGCTCATAATTTCAGTCCAAGTTTCTTCTGACCTGGGTGTAGGAAGCATTAGACTAGGATTTCCAGAAAGGACTTGTGACTTCTTCATTCATTCATTTCCTTTATTTTCCATATATCCATACAGGTAACAAACCTAGGATGTGGAAATAGTCCCTTTGAAAATAGATATATCAATATACATATACAAAATTACATGAGTCACATAATTAAAATCACTTACATTATGTTGTATTGTAGGGTCCTGTTGCACTGATTTTCATCCATGATATGTACAAGGGGGTACCCAAAAGAAACCGATCTTATTTTTTTTTAAACATATTTATTCAAATTTTAAGCACAAACCTTCAATCCCCTTCAAAGTACTCTCCACTTACACTAATACACTTGTCTAGCCTTTTATTCCATTTTTTAAAACATTGTCTAAATTCATCTTTTGAGATGCTTGACAGCGCCTCCGTCGTTTTTTCCTTTCATGTCTCTTTTCATTCAAAGGAAACAAAAAAAAAGTCACACGGAGCAAGGTCGGGTGAGTATGGAGGGTGAAGAACAGGGGTCATACCATTTTTGGTCAAGAATTGTCATACAGACAGGGCTGTGTGAGCAGGGGCATTGTCATGATGGAAAAACCAGTCACCCCACTACCACAAATCTGGCCACTGAGCTCCAAGTCACTCCCGACAGCTCCACAATTTCTTCAGTGGTCCGTCATCGATCTTCCTTGATGATTTGACAAATTTTTTCAACATTTTCATGTGTTCGGGCCATGGAAGGATGACCAGAACGAGGTTTGTCATCAATTGACGTTTCACCATTTTTGAAACGGGAAAACCACTCAAACACTTGAGTTTTCCCCATAGCATCATCCTTGTACACCGTTTTTAACATTTCAAGAGTTTCTGTTCCACTTTTCCCGAGCAAAAAGCAGAATTTCACCGCCGCACGCTGTTCGCGAAAATCAGCCATTGCAAAAACGACGATCACACAAAACAGTTGTCACTGTAAACTCTGCCGAAACTAGTCCTTACCTTCTGAAGCAACGGTAGTCGGCTTATCGACTCAGGAATGTTAGCTCTATGCGCTCATAGCGGCAAAACGCGGTACTACAAAAGCTCTGCCCACAGAAAAATTAGTTCAGTTTCTTTTTGTACCCCATCGTATATATATATTCGGACAGAAAATAGGCTATTATTACAATGAAATGGACAGCAACAGTTATGTATGCTGGTTAGAAACATTACTAATTTAAAATTTTCTGCCCAAGTTAGTACTAATTATTGATGCCACATCTTATCACATTCATGGAGATAAGTTACCAACATTTTACTCCATCAGAGTGGAAATGAAAACCCCATTAATTGAAAAGAACATCCTCTTCGGTGAGTCCGTGTTGAAAACTCAACTGTGTGGCATGTGGCAACATCTCATCAATGGGATTTTAGCAGATTGTGGACATCCTATGTCGACTTTGCCACGTTATCATTTTTTATGTTGGTTATTTAATGTTACTGACATTATTGAGACTGTGTAAGATTGAATCACTATCATTTCACCTGAAACCCAATTGGAATCATTTGAGTGGATGTAAAGCAGTGGATTGTTGGCAAGTATACAGGTATTATAATTAAGGATTTAGACTGACTGTGTCATCAGAAATTCTTAGAAATAGTAGAAGAAGAATGGTTCTTAACACGTACCATGGACAAGAGGGTATAGTTGAAGAAACCTTTGAACAAGTAATATTTCAGGATAACGATGTTGACTGCAGTAGCAGTAGTAGTGACAGTCGTACTGACAGTAGCAAACATGGAGTTTTATTACAATTGGATGAATTATTGCACATGCATAATTCAAGTAGTACACTGCATTCAACCAATGAGGAAACATCGCAACACCACTGACCGGGCCCAACATTATTCACAGATTGCTGCTGTAACTGCTGATAGCAGAATGACTCATTATCACTGATAAACACATGCCGTCTGGTGACGTAATCTTGTCACTGCAGTTAAGTCACATTAATAGTCTGTGTTAGAGATGTCGATAGGTGGCTGACATTTTTACTGAAATGAAGTTCACTATTGAACAGCATGTGTTTATTGTCAAAACTTTTGCAAGGAAAAAACTTAGAGAAAATGTGTCCGTAAGTTTCATCGTAAATATCCTGATGCGCCAGTTCCCACAAAGTCATGTGTGTATTCGAGCTTGTGAAAAAGTGGCAGGCCACAGGTTCAGTGTGTGACATAAAGAAGCAATCGAAGAGGATTGTGCTGACTGAAGAAAAAGTTCGGGATATTGAGACATGACTACAGGTCAGTCCCCAAAAATCATTAATATGCTTAGCACAGGAAACCAGTGTAAGAATATGGAACGATGAAAATCCTCACACTATACAGCATGTGCCATGACATAGTGAAAAGGTGGGGGTGTGGTGTGCTGTAAGTCTGCGGTGAATCATTGGCCCCTTATTTTTCCATGAAACTGTGAACTGTGACTGCTGCATTAATGATATACTGAATCTGTTCTTCAAGCAGCTGACTGCTGAAGGATGACAATATGGGTATTTTCAGCAAGATGGCGCTACAGCACATATGGCTAATGCAACCATGGTCGCAATATGGGAAGTGTGTGAAGACAGAATAATCAGCAGAGGACTGCAGCCTCTCAGATCCACAGATCTCAGTTTTTGCAATTTTTATCTTTGGGGAAACTTAAAGTTAAAGGTCTACAAGAGTAATCCTTGCACCACTAAAGCTCTGCAGAATGAAATAACATGCATAATTGGTTCAGTTACCATGAACCAACTTCAGAAAGTGTTGCATAGTTTATTTATGCAATGTGAGGTATGTTTGCAAGCAGAAGGGGGTCACTTTCAGCACCTGTTCTAAAGCAAGGTAAGTTTGTGTTTTCATTTTACAGTATTCTTATAAATGTGTGCATGTACAGAAACCTATATGAGGGGATAGCCGCAGAGAAACATTCCATCCACTCTGCACTAGCAAGAGTGCACGTGTTTATCAGCGCTAATGACTTATTCCACTGTCAGCAGTTACAGCAGCAATCCGTGAGGAAAGTTGAGCCTGATCAGCGCTGTTACCAGGTTTCCTTGACGATTAAATGCCCTGTATAACCATATTTGCTAACATCACTGAAGAGCTCTCGAACTTTTGACTAGAACAAGCATCACACACACAGAAAAAAAAAAAGGAAAATAAAATTCTGTGTAGTGTATAGGTATACAAGGAAATGTTTTCCCTTTAAGATAACTTTCTTTATGCAATGTGGTCAGCTGCCATGGCTGTGATTCAGTTTAGTTAACCTTACTGTACCTGGACTACTGCTGCTTCAGCCAGTAAGTAACTTGCTGTTAGTTTTTTATTCATCAAGTTTAGTAGCTATATGTGGTAAGAATGCATGGAAGCTCAGTCAGTGTAGTTATGTTCTATAGGCTGGATGGCTGGGGTTCAGTTCACAGCAGGAGCAAGAGATTTAGTCCTACTCCACAGTGTTCAGACCTACTTTATGGCCTACCCTGTGTCATATCCAGTGGTTTCTGGGGGCTCTTTCCCTGGGTGCTAAGGTGGCAAGTGCTTGAAGTTTACCACTCAAAATCTGTCTAATGCTCAGTCAAAAATGGTGGACCTATACCTCCACTCCATATGGCTTCATGGCATTGTCCTTAATTAATTAAGCACAGGGACAATTTTACCTCTTTATCTTTAACTGTTGTAAGAATACAAGGAGCTTCTTCATATACCTTTGTGGTTAATGCTTGTGTATAGAAGCTTTACCTTTACCATAACCTTATTACCATAACCTTAAAATGTTCATATATTATATTAGTGATGTTAAGGGAACTTTCTGCCATGTTTCAGAACTATCCAATGTGCTGCATCAGACACTGGTTTGAAGTGCTCCTTTTTGTCATTCCCAGGTCAGCTTTGCAAGTTACACAGCAGAGGACTGTAAAGATATGTGGGGGAAGATTCAGAAGAGGTTGCGAAGATTTAGGTTATTGCGGGAAATGCTTGAAGATGCAAAGGCTTGGGTTTCAAAACCGTGGACCAACTTCTATCGCAGTCAGAAACAGGTGAAGAATTATTTTTCAGTACTGCTTCTAAGCAGCAGAATTATTTGTAGTACAGTACTAGGCCATTTCCCTCTGCATGATTGCTGTAAATAGATCACCTAAGACCCAATATGTTAATTTCTTTTATCCCTTTGACTGCTGATATTTTTGCAGCATATTCACCCTTATGTGTGCAGAGTTTCTGTGTATTTATTTTGAAACAAAAAATAACAGGAACTTTCTCTTAATCCACTTATGTGTTGGTTGTACAATTTTAAAGAGCTTGTAGATGGAATTAAGGTCTGAAACTATGTGATATTCATGTGGATACATTACTTCATGGCCAGATCTTACTTGTTTTGTGGATGTTCACTGATCTTGAGGTGATTGTTGAGAATGGATTTAAGGTGTAGAGTAAAGTATTAGTGCTATGTTACAAATTTTTATTTAATTAATATTTTCATGTGTCTGCTGACAGCCAGGGGAACACAGTACCATAGTTGGTTGAGGTACTATGCTACAAACTGGAAGGTCGTGGGTTCGATTCTCAATGAGGTCATTGGATTTTTTAATTGACCTAATCTTTCCAGCTGCACTATGGCCTTGGGGTGGACTCAGCCTCTAACAGAAATTAGTACCAAGAATCATCCTGGGACTAAAAGGTGGCTGACGTGTAAGGCTGACAACTTCACCGCCACCTGTGAGCCGATTATCTAGAAAATGTGGGAACCTCAACATCTCACAACCCAATGAGCCTCCACATCCTGTTACAGGGATAGCTTTTCCTTTCTTTACTTGCTGAGAGCCAGAATTGTGAAGTCAGCAGAGATGACTGTTTCTTGGGAACGGCTCTGTAAACACATCCATTGCTAGGCAGTGGCCCAGTGGACATTAGATGACTGTGGCTTCTCTTAAGTCCTGAGATAGCAGAGTTAGTTGATCAGCAGTTGAGTTTGGAGGTAGGCACTACAAGAGAGTTGCCTGGCGGAGGTATGGGAGAGGGAGGGCCCCCCACTGTTGAAAACGGTAGCAATGCCAAGTTAGACAGTCAGTAGTTAGCAGTCTGAGACAGTAAGTCCTGGGCTCTTGCTAGGAGGCCAGTGACAGACCAGTGCAATCTTGAGATGGCGGTGAGTACAGTTCCTTATACATAAGGGTATGGGGAATAGCCCTTGTTAGGAGATTGTAACCAGGTAATGCCTAGTTGACTTGTGAGATAGTGGACAGCCAGCAAGGACCAGAGCTGTGGAACATGGAAGCTGAGGGATCTATGACATTGGAAGTTTTACCAGGTGACAGCTGATGAAGATGCAGCAGACTGAGAAGACTTAGTTTATGCTATGGTGAATAATAAAGTGCAGGAAGTAGTAAAACTGTTACAATGAATTGTAGTTATGAGTTTTGAAAAGTGCAATAAATATGATTACTAGTCCAAAACCCATGTCTAGTTACTTAACACATGACAGTATCATTAATTTTAGGAGGTTATGTTTTTCCAAGTTAAATATTGAAATGAAGTGTTGTGAGTCATGATAGTAATTGGAGACACCTGTTATGTTCTACATATTTATGTGTCATGAGGATGCTTTGACAAATACAGTTACTGAGTTTGGTTCAAGATTTGGAATTAACTTCTCATGCATCAAATCATTTTTCTTAATTTATTGAGTTAATTGTAGTAGAATAATGATTTTGGCTAGCTCTCCATGTTAGCAGAACATTAGGAATGAATTTGTTTTCTCTGTCATTATATATTTTAATAAATCGTTTACCTTTCAGTATTGGTTTATGCAAATTCTGAGTTGCGTTGCCAGTGCATGTGTCCCCTGGTACATAAGAGGAAAGGATCTAAGTTTCATCTATGCAGAGAGAGAGAAGCAATAAGAGACATTTTATCTGCAGCAGTCTAATACATTTGCTTGAATGTAGCTTTTAATTTGTCTCTTCTGACCTCTGATTACTTCTGCACATGAAGCAGCATCACATCACATGATATGCATACATCTTTTTTCTTGTGGGAACAGTGAGAGTGCTTGCAGACTTGGTCATGATGGTAAAATGATGTGTTTATGTAGGTTCTGTATTTGAGCATTAATAAGAGGCATAATATATTCTTGTTATAAAATGTGTTAAGAAACTGATAACCAGTGGACAAGAAATGCAGACTGGAATGTTGCCAAGTTGAGGCATAAATGCAGTTGTGTTTTGGTGCTAGACCCCACAGCTGCCATGTTTGTTCAGTGGTTAGTACCGTACAGGCGGTGTTTCCCACTGTGTGTCCCAAGTATATGAAGTATGAATATCTGCTGTTATTAAACTACGATGACATTATTTACTTTTGTGTATCAACTTCAAATTTGATAATATGATTCACATGTAGTGTATGTATTACAGAATAGGTAACTTTATTATAAATTATTGTGTTTTCTCTCAGTTACAGTGAGGCAACCCAGATATTCATTGCTTTATTCTTGGAACAGTTTCTACAGGCTTTTCGTTCTAAATTGCCCATAACGAATATTTATTAGAGCATCAATCTTTCGCCATCTTACAAATTCTTATTATAGTGAAATTCTGCTGTATATTCCAATTGTATCATTTTAGTTTTGCATATCTCATTGGCTTTGATATCAGTTATTCACCCACTCACTCATGGAGCTGAGCCCTTCTTGAGAAGCTGCCAATTGTGCAGCTATTCAGTAACTTCCCAGCAGTTTATGGAACCCAAAGGTTTATTACAGTGTTCACAAGAGCCCTACCCCGGCCCCTATCTTGAACCGTATAAATCTAATCCATACCATCCCATCCTATCTCTCTAAGATTCATTTTAATATTGTGACATGTGACATCGTGAAACCCCGCAACAGTGTGAACAGATTATTGCGATTAGGGTTATAAAGTGTGAAACCCCGCAACTGTTATAATTAATTGTAGCCGTTACTTGTAGGTTGTTGAATAAACCAGTTAACAATCTCTACGGCGTATTCAGTAACTAAAACATGTTACATTGGTGTCAGAAGTGGGATCAGTAACCCGACACGTTACAATATTGTCCACCCACCTACACCTTGGTCTTCCCAGTTCTCTCCTTCCATCTGGCTTTCCCACCAATATCCTATATGCGTCCCCCCTCACCCCCATTTGTGCTACATGCCCTGCCCATCTCATCATTCTTGACTTGCTCATTCTAATTATACTTGGAGAAGCATGCAAGTTATGAAGCTCCTCATTATACAGTTTTTCCAACCTCCTGTCACTTCAGCTCTCTTGGGTCCAAATATTCTCCTGAACACCCTGTTCTCAATTCTCAAACACCCTCAGTCTGCGTTCCTCCCTTAATGTCAAAGACCAAGTTTCACACCTATACAGAACCACATACAAAATTATAGTTTTGTATATTCTAGTTTTTATGTTTTTAGATTGCAGGCAAGAAGACAGAAGGCTCTGACTGAATGGTAGCAAGCATTACCCAAGTTCAATTTCCTCTTAATTGCCTCCTCAATCACTCAGTCAGGTTTTGATTTGTTACAGTCATTCCCAAATATCTGAACTGCGCCACATTTTCAAAACATCTGTTACCTATCTTTATGTCCTGATATTGCCCTGCATTTTTGTGATGAGATACCAACATATGCTTAATTTTCTCTGCGTTTACTTCTAGACCAATCTCTTTACTATTGTCAATTGAAGTTTGTGTGTTTCTCTGTGGTATCTATGTTATATCGCCCAGTAGATTCACATCATCAGCATAGACCAACAGCTGCTGTGCCCCATTTAATTTCAGTCCCACCTGGTTTTCTTCCACCTTCCTATTGGCATATTCTAAACAAAGTTAAAAAGCAGTGGTGATAAACTATCTCCTTGTTTAGACCATTCTGGATATGAAAATTATGAGACAAATGTTTACCTATACGGACTTTACCATATGTTTATTTTAAACTTATTTTAATCAGCCTGACTAGTTTCATGGGTATCCCAAACTCTATCAGAATATTGTACAGTACTTCCCTCCTAACTGAATCATAGGCTTTCTTGAAGTGTGTGTATAGCTGATGTACTGTCTCATTGTACTCCCATTTTTTCTCCAGTATCTGATGAAAGCTAAAGATCTGATCTGTAGTGTTGATCTCTTATGCCAAAACCCACACTGATGATCCCCAATAATTTCATCTATATATGGACTTAACCTTGAGAGAAGAATATTGGATAAAATTTTGTATGAAGTTGATAGCAGTGATATCCCTCAATAATTACTACAGTCAGTTTTATCACTCTTCTTGTGAACTGGTACAATAATAGACTCCTTCCACTGATCAGGCAATTTTTCTTTATACCAAATAGAAGTAATTAGATTGTGGATCTTAGAACGTAATATTTTGCCTCCTGCTTGAATAAGTTCTGCCAGAATTTGATCACTGTCTGGCTATTTATACCTTTTCAATTTTGCAATAGCACTTTCAACCTCAAAAGGGTTAGGATCAGGTACTGATGGCTCAGCTGTACAAGGTGTGGCAGNTTTCACTGCATCCACGGACTCGAACCTGGTCCCTTTCAGCGCAGACTTGATTTTTGGGAAGAGAAAAAAGTCGCACGGTGCTAGGTCCGGAGAATACGGTGGATGTTCCATCACTGGAATGTTGTTTTTTGCCAAATACCTCTTCACAGATAGCGCGATGTGTGCTGGCGCATTGTCGTGATGAAGAACCCATGAGGCATTCTTCCACATGTCTGGTCTCCTTCATCGTGCACGTTCACGGAGGGTCGTCAAAACATTTTTGTAATAAACNCGAATGCTCAGTCGACAATCTCTTCGAACAATTCTAGTGACCTTCTCCACATTCTCTGGAGTTTTCGCAGTGGAAGGACGGCCCGATTTTGGATCGTTCCTGACGTTTTTCCTACCCTCCATAAACTTCTTAAACCACTCGAAAACTTGCGTGTGAGATAGACACTGATCACCATATACTTCTGTCAACAAATTGTAAGTTTCAGTGGCAGATTTTCCAAGTTTTGTGAGGAATTGGATGTTAACACATTCTACATTAGCACTCAGCATTATTCCGATGGAGCTCAGACACGCGATCTGCTTCTAACAGTGGTCGCGGCCAGACTAACTGATGTGCGTGAATGAAACTTTGTGTGACGGTAGAGGGAAGTCCACGGGTCAATGCCCTACCCTCCTCGTCGTCATCGACGTGGCCGGAAATGACTCGTAAACGTAATCGGTTTCTTTATTGCCGCACCTTGTATGTATTTCTGTCTGCCTAACATCATTGACCTTATGTACGTTCAGTAAGTGAGAGAAGTAGTGCTTCCACCTATTCAAAATGTTGTGGAAATCTGGAAGCATATCACCATTCTCATCCTTCACTAAGTTACTTCTAGGTTGGTAACCCCTCTTAAAGTAAATTATTCCTCTATACAGGTCTCTAATGTTCTTGTACTTAACTGTTCATTGCAAGTTCAACAATTTTGTCTTTCAGATATTCCCTCTTTTTTATTCCTGAAATGCCTGCTGGTTTCACATCTTATATTGTTCAGATTATCTCCATTTATTTTTCTTGGACCCTGTAACCAATGAAATTTGGCTTGTTTTATTCTGTATAATAATTTTGAGCATCCAAAGCTACAAACCTATTTGAGATTTCAACACGATACTGCTCTTTACCCTCTACCTTGTTTAATTTCTTGAGATTGAACCTCTTAATATGAACTCTGTGTGTTGTTTGTTTGCTCACTTCCAGTCTTTCCCTAACCCTTGCCACCACCAGGTAGTGGTCAGTATCACAATCTGCTGCCCTGAATGGTCAGACATCAAGTATACTTGAATTCCCTCTCCTGTCTATTAAAATATGGTCGATTTCATTGTGTTTTCCCATCAGAAGATGTCCAAGTACATTTATGAATGTTACAATGTGAGAACATTGTACTTTTGACAGTACGAGTTTTCATTGTGGCAAAGTTTACTACTCCAACTCCATTATCTTTACTAATTTCATGCAAACTCTGATTCCCAGTTGTTGGTTTGAAAACATCTTCCCTGCCTACTTTGGCATTAAAATTTTTGTATGGTACTTCGGGAATTTATCAAATACACATTCTAGTCTTTCGTAGAACCTGTCTTTTATATCATTGATTGTATCTTCTATTGGGGCGTGAACATTCAGAATGATGATTTCACACCAGCGACCTTTTAGTATTATATACACGTATGATATCCTGTCACTAACGAACTCTACACTCTTAACTGCTGATATGATTCTCTTTTGTACGAAAAAACCTGTACCTAATTCACGATTTTCATTTCCCTTTCCATAGAAAAATGAGTATTTGTCTGCTAGTTTCATACCACCTCCATCCCATCTGACCTCCTGTACTACCACTAAAACAACTTATATTTTGAGATTTCTTCCACCACTGCTCTGAGCCAACCTGCCCTATTCATGCTTCTAACATTCAAGTACTAAATCTCATATCCATTTTCTTTCACCTAAGTCATTTATCCACAGGGTCTGTCCAGGTCTGAGGCTTTTTGAACATTTTTGTAACAAGCTTATTTTTTTATGGTGAGGACCTGTTAGCACCATACGCAACCCCCAAGCTGGAGGACCACCCCTTGTCAGTTGTCCGCAACTCCTTATTCAGTATATTCGCTGTATTGAGGAATGTTTCAATTAAAAGCAGATTATTAATGAATGCTTTGTTTTATATTATGCTTCAACTTTTGCATGATTAATTTTTTGTAAAACTAATTAAAATCAATATGAATTTAATTTATATTGACCTAGATGGTCTACTGTAGGGATCATAGAACAGAATCACTCAGTCTTTTAGATCTCTTCCTAGATATGTTTTTTGGGTAGTTATTTTTTAACTTTTGGGTTGCCTTGTCTGAGCTCATTCTTTTCAGTTTCTTTTGCTGTATAAAATTCATTATTCTGTTATTGGTTGTATATTGACAAATTCTATTGTTTCTGCATCGAAAGTTACATGATACATGCAGAAACATAATACCATAGGTATGGATACAAGGTAACAAATCTCAGATGGGGATTTTACTGAAATATGAGTATAATTCCTTCTTTGTGTTCTCTTCACAGACAAAGTAATGATACATACCTTAAAATCATCTTTCTATCATTTTCTTGATCTATCTCTTATCCTTTACTCTGTTAGGTCTGTAATTTCTTGCTGTTCTTAGCCACCTGTCTCCATCTATTCTGCCTGTTTGGTAGTCACTAACCACTTATCATTTTTTGGTAACGTGGCGAATGATGGTAGTCTCTGTAATCTGGCCAGAAACAAGGCTTCCTTTTTGCACAGAGGGAACTGGGACTGAGTATTCTACTATTTCAAGAAGAGTATTATGCTTTACAGTCTGACTCTCTTATAGGTACGTTAACACATAACCTTTTTAGAAATCAGTTCTGCTTTTAATTTATTCTTCAAACACACTAAAATGCAAAAGAAAATAAAAGTCTTATAGATTCTCAAAATTCCCACTAAGAAATATAATCTGTGCGACAGTGACATACAGTGAAACAACAGTAGAATGGGTATGGCTAATAACAAAGATATCATTGGTGCTGTGTATTGTATATAATCAGAAGTTATAGGAGACTTGTGCTTACATATTTCAGCATTTTTGGATATTAAAGTATCCTTTGCAATGTGTGTTTTCAGGAATTTTATAAATTCTCATAATAATATAATATCGAGGTTACGCTGTATATACAACTGAAAGATTTTTATATTCCATGTATAGGACTCTAGTCAGGAGACCGTTGTCATACAGTATACCAAGATACACTGAGTTGGCAGGTACTTTGTAGTATGATTTGCAGTGAAAAGTTAATGTAAGTCAGAATAATTACATTCTGTATGTATACCATGAAACACTGCATGAGGCATGTGTCTTTAAGATTTTGAAGTTTCTGGTCTTTCACAGAACCGTCACCCTGATTTGCCCAGACGACCTCTCTCAACATATATGCTCTTCTACATGGAGAAAAAAGACAAAGTTGCTAGAGAAAACCCTGGATTGGAGATGGTAAGTATAAACTGTGATGAAATTTCAGAAATTTTTTACCCCTCTGATTAGTCAGATTTATAATCATTTGCTAGATCCTAGAAGTTTTCCACTCTTCCATAGTTAATTAACCTTTAAATGGTGGTGGGGTGAGTTCGACAGAGTTCATTTAAATGTCCATTGCTTTTGGGCATTGAAATGTGCTTTGCTGTTTGGTGTTTTAAATAATTTTAAGCCTGTTGTTAGAAATGCTGTATCTAATACAATTTGTATGATAAAGGAAGGGAAGTAATTTTTTTATCAGAAAAGACCATGTCACCTATTGTAATGTCAGTTTTAAAATGTGTATGCAAAAAAGTTATACTTTTGGGGGGGATATTTTACAGAAGGGGTGCCTGCGTCTTCACAAAGTAATTCTGCATTATAATAAAATCGTTCCTTGTAACATTTGACATACTTCGGTTGTCTGTGGTGTTGTAAAACATGTAGAACCACTAAAAGACTTTTTTATTATTCTATTTGTAAGATTCATATTTTTGCTACACTCCTCAGTTATTCGGCTCTATTGACTAGAGGGATAGAAAAGTGAAAGTATGGGAATTCAAGAGCGGCTGGAGAGAAAACTCTTGGTTACATACATGAGTCCCAGGCCCTTACACTGCAGCTGCAAGAAAATGTTGCGCTTTCTGTGGTTGTAGCCAAACACTTGCATCATAGCTGAGATGCAGAGTGCATTCAGTGTTCTGTTAGGTCATAATGAATTCAAATATCATAGTTTCATTCCATCATACAAAGGCAATGAAATGTCATTTGGAAGATGATGAAGTTGAAAAACAGCTGAAATGCAAGATACTTGATGTGGGACTGAGCATTCTCGGGTGTGTCGAAGAGTACTGTACCAAGGTGCAATTCATTTTGATGGCTTGGGGTGGAGGGGTGGGGGTTGAAGCTTAAATATACATGACGAAGATAACAAAAAAGGGTATGTACATTGAATTTTATTATATTTAAAATAATTATTTAGATTTGTGTGTGTATGCTTCTACTAGCAGCATTTGAATGCCCAAATACCTGAATATAGGTGCTTTGGCCACAATGACTGTACCCTCCAGTGTACTGGTATGTGTACTTCAGACATTAAAGGTTAACTATAGTAAGATTTGGTCCACAATACAGAAGCCAATTCATGTCAGTCACCCAACTTCCAAACTGATAAGTTTGGAGATTCTAACTGTTGTTAATTAATTAATTAATTTATTTATTTATTTATTTATTTTGTGTGCTTAGATGCATAGATTACATAGCATGGATCACAGGTTGTTTATGAATGATATGAAAGGAAGTGGTTATGGTATGCTTGAGGTTCTATCCCAGCATTTTCCATATAGTGATGGTAAAAGGTAAAGTCCCTGTGCTGAAGATGTATGGGGTAATGGAGGTATACCACCACCATTCTTAATCTTCCCATTGAATGGAGGTGAGTGGTGAGCTTCATGCCCTGGCTGTTTTACTTAAAGAGGTAAACATCCCCTGGTACCCATTGTGTAGGAGGCTGGGTGGGCCTCAGCTGGTCTAGAAGCTATGTTCCTGCAAGGAATCAGACCCCAGTTCCTTAATTGCTGGAAGTGTTTCAGTAAGATTCCCATGTTTCCTATCTCATCCATGGATTTAGGAAGTAGGGTGATAATGATGTCTGTCTTCAGTTTTGTTCGGTTCTTAACTAGAATACCCAAACAGTATAATGGTCTCAGATTTGTTCCACTGAATTACTGGATATCATAACCAAGCACACATAAATGTAAATATATAGAGATATAGAGATGAGTAAGTTACATGCCTATTCATCCAGCTGTATACAAATGTATGTGTTTACTCATCAGAGTTGAATATCTGCCTGACAAAGAGATAATGTAAAACTTGTTACAGACAGCTGTTTCAAAGTGCATAGCTGAGATGTACAAAAACTTACCAGCAAAGAAGAAGCAGAAGTACGTTGACATGGCAGCTGCTCAGAGAAGGGAGTATGATCAGAAATTGGAAGAATTCTAGTAAGTTTAAACATTTACATGTTACAATTTCCTTGTTTATGAGAGTATCAGGTATTCATGACTTGGATTTTACACCTTTGCAGCCGGGAACATCCAAACCTAATTCCAAAGCCAGTGCCTTCCAAAGATCACAAGCCAGGAGCAGCAGTTGATACGGGACCACGGAAACCATCAACACCTTTCAAGGTAAAACTGTGTGTGTGCTTCTATAATTTTGGTATTGAAGTTGTAGTTCACTGGCTTTTTCCTGTCTTTGGATTCTCAGAATCAGGATGGATAGGAGTTCAATCTAGCTTGCAGTTGAGGATGATCTGATATTTTGGTTATTATGGTGGTAGGAGTGGAGAAGTAATTTGTGTTCATGTAATGTGATTTCCAAACCCTGTAAGAGAGAACTGGCAGAGTACACATTGTGACATATAGACCTGTTGCTAGGCAATGACTGCGAGATAAGCAATTATACAACAGCCATTGCCAACTAATGGCTCTGTAAACAATGACTGTTACTAGGCAATGGCTGAGTAGCAATCACATGGGCATCCCAATAGATGTGAATGCAACAGTTGGATACCGCAACAGAGGAACGGTGTTTTCTGTACAGGTCATGCCAAGATGTTGTAAGCAGGACAGTTAGTGATGTGAAGTCAGTTGAGTTGAGCGATGGATGGCAAAATCGAGCAATGTGTCTGCATCAGGTTTTGCATGAAGCTTGGTAAATCTGCTACCTAAACCCTTTAAATGCTTCATGAGGCTTATGGGGAACTTTCCTTAAGCTGGACAGTGGTTTCTGAATGGCATTCACATTTCAAGGACGGTTGAGTGTCAGGGCAACCAAGTAACAGCAAGATGACAGAAAATGTTGACAAAATTTGAGAACTCGTCCACGAAGACCATTGCCGAACAATCCATAAGCTCACAGACACCATTTGGATCAATTATGGAGTTTGCCAGAAGATCTCAACAGAAAATTTGAACATGCACTGCATTGCTCCTTCATCACAACAATGCTCCCACCCACACATCCCTGAAAACCACAGAGTTCGTGACTAACGACAACATGATTATCATTCCCCAGCCTTCCTACTAGCTGGTCTTAGCCCCCTGTGATTTCACTTTGTTTCCCAAATTGGAAATGAAACCAAAGGGATGACATTTAGAAACGATGTCTGACATCCAATGGGAATTGCGAGCGGTACTCAACAGCATTAAGGAAAGTGACTTCCATGGTGCTTCTGAAGGAGATGGCAGTGAAAATTGAGTAAGTTAAGCCAGCATTTATTTTTCAACCCAGTCTGGAAACTTTCTGATAGTACCTTGTATGTTATGGTTTTGTCCTGTACTGTGTTAAGAATTGAGCAAATACATGAATTTATTTTTCCCTTTACCTTTAGATGAATCACTTTACTAGCTTTAACTGCAAATACCAGTTCAAACCGAAGTAAAATACTTGGAAAAATTATACCTTGGCCAAAAACTGACATGACAGAAACATGTTAAAACAAAGCGTCAGAAGTTAAAAAAACTACCAGGAATGTCCTGCCTTTTGGGCCATAAATCCAAGTTATCCATAGAAAATAAACTTCTGTCATATAATTGCATAATAAAACCCATATGGACATATGGTGTACAGCTATGGGGCTGTACAAAACCAGCAAACACAAAAATAATTCAGACTTCAGTCCAAATTCTTGCACTCAGTAACTAAAGCACCTTGGTATGTCTCCAACTTTACTATCCACAATGATCTGCAAGTATCATTTGTCATAGAAGAAATACAGAGATTGTCATCACTGACCATCAAAGCATACTCGGACACAATAACAGACTAGTTGTAGAAAATAGCAACCCACGAAATGTAAGAAGAAGATTGAGGAGACAGTGGCCATGTGACCTACCACAACCCACAGATGACAAAGATTAAAACCATCACCATTCTTCTACAGGGCTTGTCAGAATATCATTAGTGAATGACTTCTCTACTCAAGACACCTACATAGAACAAATTTACTTATTTCTCCATATTATTGAGAGTAGATTGTAAACATGCTATTAATTAAATAAAAAAATTGATTTTTTTGTGGACTGGAATATTATCATGCATTAAACTATTATATTCAGGAACAGTACAGAAATTTTTGTAAGTTTTGATTTTTTTGAGGAACGGATTTTGTTCTCAGCACTTTACAGTCCACTTCCCCTCACATCCAGGGAGAAGCTGCTAGATTATTTCTAACATTTTATGTTACAGCTGTTCTATACAAGCAAGGAAAACAGGCATAAGAATGACCCAGACTTTGACCGAACAGAGTTAATGGAGAGGTGTAAGGAGCAGTGGCGGAATATGAGTGACAAGAAGAAGGTAGTTTGGATCAACTGGGCACTGGAAGATGAGACCAGATACCAGGTGAGGGAGAACCATATATCAGGATCTGTTCTGTATTACCAGTGACGCCAGCAAACTTTTATAATTAGTTAGTTAGTTACTTAGTTATTTGAGAGGGTGGGTTTCCCGATGCACTTAGACCAGTATTGGTCCATTGTGCTTCCCTCTATGATATTCTACCAGTCTCTATACCCTACGGATATTGGTGTGTACCATCAGTCCCGACCAAGCCAGCGAGTTCGGCCTCACTAGCTTGGCGGTATCTATAATGCTTCCCCCATCTATTAGAGACGTTAGAGACTATTGTTGGGCGGGAAACGTCCTAGAATTTGGCTCAGTGACCTCCTTTGGAGATAGGAGGTTCTTTTACGTGCCTTAAAGTTACGACATGGGACACACGGCTTAAAGTCCCTCCTGGAGGACTTGTTCCCTGAATGTTTCCGCCCTAAAAAATTCGACCTCCGCCGGGTTTGAACCCGCGTACCACGAGTCATGAGGTGGGAACGTTACCTCTAGACTACGGAGGCCGCTAAACTTGTAAATGTTTTGTTGCTTGTGTTTGCTAAGTGTTCTTATCTGACTCTGATAGCCTTCCTAGAAGGTCCCATTTGCACTGTCTTGCATTGATTCCTTCACTGGAGATCTAACATCTTCTGAACTGGATTTGGTTGTGGTTTGCTTTTCCAAGATCATTGCCCTCCCAGCCTCATGCAGCAGCTTTATTGGTTTTGATTTAAAGTTCTGTCCTCAAAATAGTGTTGAAGGAAGCACAATTCAGAAGGTAAACTTTCGTGGACCACTTTGTTGTTTTTCTAAGGATAGACGATAATGTTGGTGCTCATTGGTCCTTTTCTCACCTTTCATGTATTTATGATATTGTGACATGATAGTTGAAGGCGAGTTGTGGAGCCAGAAGAGGTCATTGCTAGGTAATGCAGCCAGTAAACATGCTCTTATGTCATCAAACAATCAGGCCATTGATAGGCAGTGTGGTGTTTTCTATGTGGTCCTTCACAAGGCTATATAGCAGGGATCAGTTGGAGCAATGAGTAATTACAAATCAGCTGCCATCAGTGAGGACACAGGCACCAAAGCAGAAGAGCCTACATGGTTAGCAGCCATAACCCAGTGAAGACGTAGTAAACTGAGGAGACTTGGTGTGTGCTGTAGTGATATGTAAAGTGTGTAGATCAGTAATACTGTTGTAATTATTTGTGATTAAAATTTACAAGAATCCAGTAAATACACTAAGCAGTCCAAACTTCATGCCTGGTCACTAACACAAGACAGTATTTTACAGTATCTTTGGGCATTATTACCACCACAGTTTTCTATTTTCCTCTCTACAAGTTCATCAGTTTTGTCTTATTAATGACAAAATTAATGACCCCCCCCCCTGCGGTGATGGTTGCTCAGCTGTTGAAGCGAGCAGGGAAACACACGTTGCATCCTGAGCGTGTAGTATGTGCGGCATGTGGTGCTGCGGCCGGTGCTATGTCGGCTGCGTAGCAGTTCAGAATGCCCAGGAAACGGCAGAGATGACTGGCAGTTCTGTAGACAGTTTATTCGTTCTTCCAGTGGTTGGGAACCCTTGACGGAGGCTTTGTAACTGAGGAAGGTAATCTTGGGTGCTAAGATGATTCCTTTCACCGGGTTGATGAGGATTCCATACCTCTGAAGTCAGTCAAGGAGAGACCGTAGATGCTGTTCTTGTTCCTCAAGAGACTGGTATATGTGCCGCCATTCATGTCCGCTGTGGTAGTTTTGCTTGTTCTGTATTTACAGGGATAGTAGGTTAATCCTCTTCACATATCATTCCTTTTCAGTGCTGGAAACACGTCTTAGATTCAGCCATTGGAATCACGAACTCTACCTCCTTTGTGTTGTATTTAGGTGATTCTGTATTGTAATATTTATCTTGTTTTGGAGCAATTATTTACAATTTGTTGCTTAAAATCTTGACGTGAGTTTATTCTTGTTCACTGCTGTTACAGAGATTTGTCAGAGTGCAATGAGAATGAGGTGAACTTGTTATTGGACAAAACAAAGGAGTTGGGTGCATCCCTTTGTCCAATTATGACTTCACCTCCCACTCTACTCCCTCTTTCTGATTTAATTAAGGGTTTTTGACCCTCTCCCTCAAAAATACTATAGAATGATGACTGTATAGTTTAACATGAGAAGCATCTACTGCTAGGGAACATCAAACTAAACATGTTTCTGCTGCAGTGAACATGTGATGTCATGATGGAGAACTGTTGGAATCAGTGTTTTCTGTGTGGTCTGTGCTGAGGATATATAAGGAGAACCAGCTGAAGTATTTAGTTGGTCAAGAGTGTGAGTTGCCATCATGGGTTAGATGAGAGGGAATTGCCAGCCAGTGAAGACATGAGCTGTTGAACACACATGGTGATCCATGACCTAGCAACAGCTAGTGAACACAAACAGAAGAATTAGTGGGTGCTGTAGTGAATTGTAGTCAATCCAATCTCCATGTCTTATCACTAAATCATGACAGTATTAACCCTGAAGTTGACCAACATTCTGTATTAGCAGTCAGTCATAATTATAAACGTTATAAAGTACTAATGTTAACTCATAAATACTTAGTTAAGCCAGGCGAGAAGAATGTTCCACTGTAAGTGTGTGGCTGGTTTATTGCAGGAGGAGCTGAAGGTGTATATGTCTGAGAACCCAGAATTTGTTCCCACAAGTGTAAAGACTGTTTTAACCAAGGAAGAGAAGAATCTCAAGGAAAGGTGAGGAGTTACTGTCAGCTGCATAGAAGTGGCATACTAATCATGAACACATGAAAGGAAGCAATCGTGTGTTGTATTAAATTAGTTCTTTTTTGACAATATAGTCTCTCCTAAACTTTTGCCACCACTAGATAGTGGTCACCATTACAATCTGCTGCCCTGAACGATTGGGCGCTTGAATGCCATCTCCTCTATCAAAATATGATCAATTTGGTTGTGTGTCTTTCGATCAGGACATGAATTCGGCAGACTAGTGCACAATATGCACATCCTTCAGGGACCCCTACAAGTAAAAATCAAGGCTGGTTAATTCGGGTGAGCATGGGGGGATAGTCAACACTACCTGTTTGTCCTATCCATTGACCTGATAGGGTTTCATTGAGGTGGCTTCTGACGTCTTGGTGGTAATGTGGTGATGCGCCATCTTATTGAAAGTAAAATGGCTCATTCCCTTCGAGCTGACGAATTGTGGGTAGATTGATGTCCAAAGCATGTTGAGGTGCATATGTCCAGCAACTCTTCCTTCGAAAAGGAATGACCCAATTAAACCCCTGTATGACAGTCCACACCAGACAGTTCTGATAAATTGGACCAACTTGTCCAGATGAATATGTGGATTTTCTGGAGCCCAATACAATTATGGCNGTAGATTGATGTCCAAAGCATGTTGAGGTGCATATGTCCAGCAACTGTTCCTTCGAAAAGGAATGAATTTGCTGTACAGTTCAGCTTAAATGTTTCATCAGACCAAACAGTTTTGCTCATGAACCTCTCAGCCTCATGTACCTTGTATTGAAAACACTCACAAAACTGCTCTCTGATCAGGATGAATTCTATTCATGGCAGGTAACATCCTTGGGATGTAAAGTTTCCATTTAGCCTAAGTCAGAATGCATTGTACACTTGATCTGCTAATTCCTGTCTCACATGCACTTTATTTTGCAGACTTTTTTGGTGACTGTGTAAACTACTACAACACCATAACAGAAGAGACAGGATTCATTGCTAAACAAGGCCTCCCAGATCTTTGCTTGTGCACATCATGCACTGTACCCTCAGCCTCATATTTGTCACAGATGCATTCATTTATTAATTATGTTGGGTGTTCTGTTGCAAATTCACAGCACCACTTTTTTATGTACTTCGCACACATTTTCAGATTTGCAGCACCACTTCAAAATTATCGTATGTTGCACAAACAACAACCATTGCACAGCAATTTTTTTGACTGTCCTGCTATTCGATAAGGTGGCTCTGACATTCATGCAACTAGCACCATCTTTTGAGAGAATATCACAGTAAGCACCATACATTACATTTTGGTTCAGCTTTGAAAATGTTTATAGATGAGCTCTATTATAGTGTGTATACATTTTTTGGTGCCTCTCTATATGCTTCATGGGTTTCTTCTTTGCTTTTCACTTCATCATCGACAGTTGTAGTTCAGGAGATCACCAGTTTATGTGCAGATATTCCTTAAATACATTTGTAAGAGAGTCTATGATTCTTTAATGATCTGCAAGGAGGACTGGTAAGTAGACCATTCATGCATGCTTTTGAAATACCCCATCTAATGCGATTTCAAAGGTTTGTAAGAGTGATTTGATTGTGGAGATATCTGCTGTTGGCATTGTCCTTTATATGGATGACTAGGCCAGTGTCCCACGGAATAGTAGCTTTCCCTCTTACTGAAGACTCTGAGCAAGCAAACCTTGAAAATGGCATACGTCTGTTCCATCCAGTTAATATAAAATGCCAAAAGGAAATACTCAGACAGTACTTTTTTTGAAACTTACAGGCATTAAAAGATTACTTGGAAATTGAAGTAGGTTTTGGTTCTATAATTTAAATAAAACATTGCATTTAGTTCAGTAATTGAGCTACTGCCAACTTAAAGGAACCTAGGGGTGCTGCACAACACAGTTCAAGAATCATTAGATTTTGAAAATGGAACCACTGTAACCTCTGTTTCTCATCAAAATTCCAAGAAGATTGAATTTGTTACAGGGTGGCAGGCAAACCTGAAAAACCCCCAAACTCCGGATACAGTTTGTTCTCACGCATCATGTTGGTGAGCCCTGAAATAAAGCAAGTGGCTGCAAAGGAACGTATGAGCCAGATCTCCAAGCTGTGGAAATCTATGACGGAGGGTGAAAAGAAGAAGTACCAGGAACAAGTGAACCATGTAAGTAATGCTGTAAAAAGTTAACAGCACAATTTCCTGCTCTTATTGCCAACAGAAGGGTTCAAGGCTCCAGAAATAGAATTTAAATCTTACACAAGCCACTCAAGCTTGGTCCTGCAGTATGCTTCATACAGATATTTTCATATTCACCTTTCAGTCTGTGACCTCACACTGCAACAGTACTAACTATCATGTGACTTATTTTCTGTGTTGTCCATGTGGCACTCATAATGAATATCTGTCTAAGGTTAAGTCAGAGTGTGTGGAGAGTTCAGGAGAGCTCAAGACAATTGAGAGACTAGTGTAGAAGGCTTATAAGATAAGTGAATTCAGGGTAGTAAAGTCAGTCGTAACTGGCGGAGCAAATTTGAACCAGGAGCACAGAAGAGTGCAAGAGGTCAGCCTATGAAGATTTGACATGTGATTTGAAGGCTTTATGAGTGCTATAGTGCAGTGATATTGGGAGTGTGTTATCCAGTGAGACTCTTATAGTTTCTGTGTTGAAATCTTTTGCCAGGAGATGACTAGTGAAAATTGGGAATCCTAGTGTGTGTGAAGCTGTGAAATATAAAGTGTGTAAATCAGCAATAGCACTCTATTGCCTGTATTGACTGTAATTAAGAGAGGTTTTAACCAAGACGCTAATAAATTGAATCATCCAAAATAGAACCCATCATTTTTGTTGCATGTACCAACCTACACTTGACAGTATGAACTCTGTGCATCGTTTGTTCACTCACTGCCAATATCTCCCTACTTTTGCCACCACCATAGTGGTCAGTATCACAATCTGCTGCCCTGAACCATCAGACATCAATTATACTAGAATGCCATCTCCCATCTATCTGTACCTAATTCATGACTCTCATTCTCCTTTCAGTAGATAAATGTATATTCGCCTGCTGGTTCCCTACCACCTCTGTTCCATCTGACCTGCTGTACTACCATTAAATTTATATTTTGATATTTCATTGGCATTGAGGAACATTAAATGGGAGTTATGCTGTGTGATGATGTAATAAAAAAGAATTAAAGAACTCAAAAGCCCTGCATTTATCCACAAAGCCCTCAGATAACTGAGTTTGTATTGTATTTCTTATTTTGCCGAAAGTAGACAGACATGTTGAAAGCCTAGCTTTTATGCAGTTCATTGTTTTTATATGTAGATAAGTCAATAAGTGGTATGTACTGTCTTCACTCGCGTGGAAACCGGGATCGTGGGTTCGAATCCCACTCAGGGCATGGATGTTTAGTTTGTGTGTGTGCGTTTTTCTGTGTTTGTCTACAGGTAGAGACCTTGCGACGAGCTGATCACCCGCCCAAGGAGTCCTACTGAATGTGTAACATCTAGAAAAACTGAAGTGAACGGAGAAGTTCATGGAGGTAGGCCTAGGCCCACTGGGGCTGTAGTGCCAAGGAAAAAAAAAAGTAAATAAGTAAGTTACAAATGGTTATAGAACTTAAACAAATAAAGAGTACTGATTTGAAAAATGCTTTTATTTCTCAACATTATCTTCCTATACAGTGAGGCA